AAGGAACACAGGCCCCTGTGGCTAGCATATTTGGATATCAAGGGAGCGTACGATAGCGTGGTTCAAGAGAAATTGTGGGGAATACTGGACACACTAGGCGTGGAAGATGTAGTCACTAATCTTTTAAAGGATATCTATAAAGGTAACAAGGTAATTATAAAGTGGGAAAGACAGGTATCCAAGCCTGCAGAGTTAAAACGGGTGCTTAGGCAGGGGTGTCCCCTGTCACCCTTATTATTCATGATGTACCTACAAGGATTAGAGGCCAAATTAGAGGGAAGTGGACTGGGCTTCAACCTAGCTCTCTTTCGTCAAACAAGGAAAACTAATTGAACAGGCACTACCAGCATTGATGTAGGCAGATGATATAGTGCTAATGGGCGACAACAAGGAAGATTTGCAGAGATTGGTGTACATCTGCGGTAATGAGGGAAATAGGTTAGATTTCATATCCAGTAAGGAAAAATCAGCAGTCATGATTTTTAATGACAATGAAGGTAGTGAGCTTAGAATACAAGAGGTCACGCTAGAGATAACAGATAAATACAAATATCTGGGCGTATGGATAAGCAACGGGGCCGAGTACCTAAAGGAACACAAAATATACGTGTCGACTAAAGGTAACAGGAATGCAGCGGTAATGAAAAACAGGGCACTGTGGAATTGCAATAGGTATGATGTTGTGAGAGGAATATGGAAAGGGGTCATGGTTCCTGGTCTGACGTTCGGCAATGCGGTCTTGTGCATGAGATCAGAAGTTCAAGCAAGATTAGAAATTAAGCAACGTGGAATAGGTAGGCTTGCTTTAGGAGCTCACGGGAATACACCAAATCAGGGAGTACAAGGTGGTATGGGATGGACATCATTTTAGGGCAGGGAAGCTAGCAGAAAGATTAAATTTGAGAAGCGATTGAGAGAAATGTGTGAGGAGCGTTGGGCTAGGAAAGTTTTCAGCTACTCGTACATGAAGAATGTCGATACAAAATTGAGAAAGCGAGCCAGAAAATTGACGGGTAAATACTTAGAAAACAGCAGGGGGCCAAACCAAAAAAAAAAAATTATCGGTTAAGAAGAAGGGGAAGGAAGCTGTGGAGAATCGGCATGGTTAAAAAGTGCGCACTAGAGATCTATCGAACTTTTAAGCAGGAAATTGCCAAGGAAAGGATCTATGATAATACTCGGGGTAGTTCTCTACTGTTTGAGGCCAGGACGGGAGTATTGCGAACCAAGACATATCGGGCCAAATACGAAGGGGTAGACACGGTATGCAGTGCGTGTGAAGAGGAAGAAGAAACTGCCAACACTTTATAATGCTCTGTAAATGGCTTCACCCTATAGTTTAGGATGATGGCGCAGAGTTTTTCAAAGCACTGGGGTTTAGGGACAGTGAGGGCAAAATAGACTTTAAGCGGGTAGAATTAACTAGAAGGAGGTTATCTGATTGGTGGCTAAAGTCAAGGCACGAGTGAAAATTAAACCCTTCACTGCAAAGTACGAATCCTCAACCTCACTACTTAAGGAAAAAAATAAATCTAGTTTTTGGTTCATTAAGTATTACGGCTTGGTGGCGCTAGCCGCCGCCCGATCTAAAGGGTACAGCCATATCCACCCATCCAGCCACCTATAGTCGGTGACAACCTAAGCATAAATGTAAGCTCCGCCCACAGCGGTCACCGTTCCACCTAGTCTGAATTTGCATAAATGTGTTTAGAAAAAGTTTATTTACACTATGTACAAAAAACATAAGTTTCATAACATTCCAGTAATGAACGGGCATATATACTTCGACAGATCTATGTACCACGACCAACATCACTACGTTGAAAGAAAGACATCATTGCTTAAATGTCCAAGGGTGTTTAGAAGAAATGTTTAACGATTTCGAGTACTTCGTCCTCAACTATGGGAGAGCACTGAGCCGTCCCGACTTGTTACCTCTGCGTAAATTCGATCCAAGGAGGGCTCCGAAAATTTCGACCACCTGGGGTTCTTTAACGTGCGCCCAAATCTGAGCACACGGTCCTACAACATTTCCGCCTCCATCGGAAATGCAGCCGCCCCAGCCAGGATTCGATCCCGCGACCTGCGGGTCTGCAGCCGAGTACCTTAGCCACTGGACCACCGCGGCGGGGCGCCCGAGAAAGACTCGTCTTTAGAGAGAGGAGGCGCTGGTTCTACTTCACTTCACTTTCCTCCTCTCGCTCTAGTGGATGTCACTGTCACACCATCTGTCATTACTACGCGGCGCTTGGCGTTCGCCCCTTTTATCGTACCGTGTGCAAATGGCCCGTTCGCTTTCGCCAACATTGTGAAACGCATAAAGAGGCGCTTATGAAGGGCTGCGCCCTAATATTACAGTGTCTAGAAATAGGATATTTCTAGACATTGTACCAATATTCTTGCGCACGCACACCAAGTAGCCAGTGAAATATTTTGTCATGGCAGATTTCGAGAAGCCGCAGTAATGGGCTTTGTGTGTACACCTACCCACCATCCCAATACGCCAGTCGTGCATCATACGCGTTGACAACGCGCTTAAGCTGAATTGCCACCCCCGTTTCGTGCGAATTTTCATCTGGTGACCATCGCATTACGTTGTTACGCTCCGGCGATATGTACTGAGTAAATAAAAGGTCTGGTGTAGCGGCCAACCTGCCTTCGTTTGAAGGGACGAACCGCCAGTTCCTGTGACAACATCGCTCCATCTACAACGCCGACGCGTACTACTGATACACCGGAGGACCTTCGCGATACGATTTATCTTGAGTGCTAATCAGACTGGACACTTTAGTGAACTACCTGCAAGATAAACAAGGCACTAGCCTTGCGGCAACTTGATATCTTTGTGCATGGTCGATAATCCTAACCAAGTGCTGAAATGTGTACGACGATGCAGTGTGTTACGCTACCTGTACTGCGTACGTGTCCGTTCAAGGCAGGCGATACTTTACCCCTTGTTCTTGAACTCCCATTTGAAACGCTTGTACACTTCTCCCCCACAGCGGAGCACGATCAAGCCGATAAGATGACGAGCGTTCTCGCGCAACGCGCCCACTGCCACACAGCTTCCGGCCTGCGCAACATGTATCGAGGTGGAGGACGTCAGCAACTTAGATATGTGGGGTTTAACGTCCCAAAACCACGATATCATCATGAGAGACGCCGTAGTGGAGGGCTCCGGAAATTTCGACCGCCTGGGTTTCTTTAACGTTTAAAATCTGAGCGCACGGGCCGACAGCATTTTCGCCTCCGTCGAAACTCCAGGTGCACAAAAGTGCCACACTTGCTCATAGGCTAATATGATGCAATTATAATTGTTAGTGTTGTCCTATCCCAAATTGGAGCAATTAGGCACCTTTCGAGTGAAGCTCATTGAAGAAACTTTACCATGAAATTGAAATCAAGACCATCGATTTAAATTAACATCGAACTCGTGCCCTTGCTGTTTGATATTGTTGAAAGCAGGTCACAACGTTGACCACGGCATGCATTTCTCCACCAAGCCTAAAATTTACAATCTTATTATAACCCGGATATAATGAAATATCGGTTATAACGAAGTAAATGAAAAATTTACCGTTAGGAATATACCTTTATAATGAATTTTCGAATATATCGAATTTATTTTCGTGTTAGATGCAACTTCGTTACATAGAGGTTTGAGTGTACAATGCATTGACATGAAAGGCCATCACGGAGCTGGCGATCAATACTGAACGCCTCAACTGCGTTCCCCGGAGCTGGAGTCTCGAGCAAGAGGCACGCGAACCTTTCGCAAGCAGCCCGGCGTTTGTGCATGACTATCTTCATCGTACATAAAATTTCTTCCCAAATGAACACATGCAATCCACCACGAGTATCAGATCCACGCAAGATAATACGTTTGTTTCTTTTTTTGCAGCTAAACGTAGTAGGTATCGTGCCAGCAAGTTTATTATTTTAGCAGTTATGTGCTTAGAAGTAGCTTTGTGACAATGCTAAATGCTGCTCTAGCATTACTTTAATTGTGGCAATTAACAAATTTTTGTTCAGTATCTGCTGGTTTCCATGGAGCTTGTTCAGGCTTTATGCTAACGCAATATATAGGACATGCATATATACACAATGTTTATGTAATGACGTGAGGCTAGTGACAGCACAGGGTAGGAATGGCTGGCTTAATTTGAGAAATTATTCAACAAGAAATGTCACGAGCATTTCGACAATTGGACGCCATGGAAACACTCGATGCCTTGACGAAGACAAGTCCCGTTGTTGCAATGTTGGCTTCAACAATGTACACTATTCAGCGATTCATTACCACAAGCCTCCATGTTCCTCCGACTTGATTGATATGTGGGGTTTAACGTCCCAAAACCACTGATGATTATGAGACGCCGTAGTGGAGGGCTCCGGAAATTTCGACCACCTGGGGTTCTTTAACGTGCACCCAAATCCGAGTACACGGGCCTACAACATTTCCGCCTCCATCGGAAATGCAGCCGCCACAGCCGGGATATGAACCCGCGACCTGCGAGTCAGCAGCCGAGTACCTTAGCCACTAGACCATCGCGGCAAGGCATTCCTCCGACTTCAGTCTTGCTTGGCTGAGCAATGTGGTCGCAATGCAACAGGTCCCAAAAAACTATTCTGCTAGTCTGGACAGTTTGAATGCCTGTTTAGTGCTTCTTCATAGAAATGCTCTGATAGAAAATCTCCCCCAAAAGCAAATGTACAGCTGGCATGAGTAGTTTCGAGACCACGAGATGAGAAAAATTTGAATTACCCAGCAATCGGTGACTATATTCAATCAAACTGTGCCGTACATGCTGTTCGCGCATTTGGGAAGAGGCCGGTAATCTATATTCAAGTCTGCCAGCCTGAACAGCGAGAAAATCCAGCTTTTTTTTGTTGTGGTCTCTAAACTTTTGATACCAACTGCAGATCAGCCCATTGGCACAGCCATTGGAGTACTTAACACTCCCAGTGGCCCTGCATGCAGAAATAAAAACTCAAACAACTTATTTTGCATTGTTTCATTGATTCCTCAACAGCATGAATTTATGTATATATTTATAATATGTACATCAACAAACAGACACACACTTTCGGTCGGAAAACACAGTTCTGCAGGTGTAACACGGAAACTGGACATCAAAAAATATATTGGCAAGAGTAAAGCAAAACACAGAGAGAGAGCTAAAAGTGTGTAAGGGCTGATTACACAGCAAGACTTACACGTCCGATAGCAACTAGTGGAATGAAATCCTAGTGGCCGTCGAGCTTCCAACAAGTACTCACAGAGACGAAAAAAAATGTTACGCACTGTATGTGGACAAGTACTACGCCCAACTCTGTTTTGTGTCCTCCGTGTAGCCACCTACATGATGAATTTGTAAAACTAGTTTTTCACTTTTTTTAAAAGTCAGTGCTTTGAGTAAACTGACATGACAGTTTACGAAATTTTGTTACACCACTAGGTGGGAGCATCGTATTGGGCTGAAATTTCTTCTCATCTTGCTCAGTTTCACGGAACTTCAAAACTATTACAGTTTTACATCTTTGGCAGTCACAAGCATAGTCCTTTCATGCCCCTGTATTTTATTTGCCACCTGTACTCATATGTTAATCAAGCACTCACACCCAGAGTCTGCCCTATGATGTTTAGTTTTGCACAACTCGTCAATCTATTACACTAAATACAAAATATGATGAAATGCCACAGGCATGCTGTGCATTTGATATGCAACGTGATACATACATCTAGCTGTTCACAAAAACATCAAGCCTAGTGCTTCTCAAATACTAAGCCTAGAGCAAAACAACCACTGTTATTTACATTGCTTAATTCACTTCCACTTGCAAAATAGTTTTTCTAGCAGTCTATAATGAAAGGCTTGCATGCATATCTGAACATGATGCTCATCACTAAGGGTTCCCAATTATAAACCTTTGGAAAAAAAATTGGTGATACCGTGAGACCTGTCTTCAGCATCTTTTATGCATTCTTACTCCTCACTGCAAATGTTATCGAAGGACTAAATAGGTATCCATTTTAGGACAACTTTCAATCGGGGCCAATCGTGTCAAATTGGGGAGACTGGTCACGAGGACACAAAGACAAAAGAAAGCCCTCAGTATCATTTGTAGGCACAGCATTGACGCGTGCGGGCGCACTTGAAGGAAGCTGGACGACGTTGAAACAGACAAGTTCTCATCAAATCTATCACAGACAAAAAAACAAGAAGTTTTGTCACCATCTCAGCCACCGTATATTACACTCCTTGTGCCCCACCTCGCACATGGCAACAGTTGCTTATTACTCACGAACTCAAAGGAAAAAATTTTTTCTTCCTTAAAGGCTCTGGGTACTAACCAGGTTATAATAGTAGAGACGGGAGGTGCGGCACTGTACATCACCAAGGAGAATGCCTCGAGAAGGCATCCCTCTAGAAACCGACAAACAAAAAGTGTAGACAATGACCCACATCTTCCAAGAAAATGACCGCTCAAATCGCAGCTGTCGATCTAATGCATACAACCTAGTTTTCTTGTGCATCATGATCGTAAAGGCAAATTTGGGGCAAACAACAAAGCACATATTTGCACTCAAGCAGCGTACCCATCAACCTAGAAAACTGCAAGAGTGCGCCTAACCGGGCTGGTCAGTACACTATAAAGATAGGAACTGTAACTGTCTAACACTGTTTTTATCTTAACCTAAAAAATAACACTTGTGCACTCAACAATCTAACCACATCTAAAGAAAGCTTTCAAAGAATTTTTTGACACCAAACCAGATGCCAGAACCTGCATATAGGCTCACCCATTATGACAGCACTTCTTCAGTACCGATGTGCTCTCAGAGGCTTAAAACCCGCACCAAAGTCTGCATGACAATTTTTATAAGACGACTGTTACACCACAATCAAACACTTCTTTTTTTCCCTAATAAATTTCAAACTTTCTCGAATGTTACCCTGCCCGAAACGCTAATGGGTTGCTCTTCTTAACAATGCATCAGCCTAAACATCGAGAACTTCAGAGGTCCTTCACTAAGTGCTTAGGCAACCGCTTCAGGTCAAACGCCAATTACCCTGAACGCATGTAACGACTGCTGCACGGGCTGACAAACACACACAATCGAATGATGAGTGCCCCTACAGTGATTGTTGCAACACTTGCATGTGTCTTTCTAAACATGCCTCAACTGGATCCCACTCGAGTAGACACACATCATACACACACCAGCCCCTAGAGGGATGCCTGCACGATGCTTCTAAAGGGACAAGGAATACAGTGAATTCTAGATCCCATCTTGTAGCCTGAATTCGCCCATGTCGTGAGAAATTTTTCACTAAGCAGCGCTTGAGTGACGACCTGCTTGCCAAGAGCGACGCATGCCCGTACTGACAAAGCAGCACTGGTGATGAAATCCCCATACCCCTACGCACAACTGCAGGGTGTTCCTTGTTTATCGCAACTTCGACATCGGTGGCATGCAGCACAAAAGCCGTTAATCACCTGTGACTGGTGGATCGCCATGTAAGACTCAAAGAGCAGTAGTAGTAGAATACGGTGCAGTAAAAGAAAATCAAGACACAAGAAACAATAAAATCACAACTAAAATGACAAAACACTGTCATGGTAAATGCGCTGATCTCACTTTCAACAGCAGAACCAAGATCTACACAGTCTCCGTAAAAGAGTTTATAAGCATTCAGTTCCCAGTGCAGCCAAACCTCAATTACTTATCACCTCAAATTACATATCAGCTGTAAAAATTAGTCGAAAAACAGTCACGCTACCAGGATGGTTTCGCAAATGTATGTTGAGGAACAGTCACACCATGAGGACAGTGTTGGAAATGAATTTCAATAATCAATTTTAGCCACAAAGCAATTTTGTGAAACATGCAATTTCGTTTTGATGAGGTTTGACTGTATCAAGGTTGCTGCATTACCTGCGACCTGGCAAATAAAACTCAAGCACACTGCATTTGCCAGTCATGACGACAGAGCCAGATCTGCACTCCATGTCAACAGCACAAGTTTTTGATCCTCCATGCACAAAAGAGGTCAAAGTGAACCGGCGTGCCCACAGAAGCATGCATACCACCAGCAAGGAAAGGTAACTAGAGAAACCAGACTTCGTAAAACATGGCACATGACATATACAGCATTCCGTACGCCACAAAATGAAAACCTCAATGTTTACACACAAGGTTGAGTTCCCAACTGATTGAACTCTCTCCAATGAGGACAAAAGTGCAAGGACGACATTTCGCAAACCAACAGAAGTACTTTGATTAATGCAACCATAAAAGCTTCACCGAACAGAAAACGCGTAGTGATTAGCTTTGAAGCGAAGACCTAAAAATCCACTGTGCAGCGTTCACAGAGTGTGTGTGTCGTTAGGGTTGGAGAGCAGTTGCTAGTACCACGCCCTTCTGCTACAGAGGTACTTGTTAATGAACAGAAAAAAGATGGTTAACTGGCAAACCAAATAAACGAGCCAACATAAAAGAAAAGGGCAGCATACAACACACCTATGTATAAGAACAGCACGTAAAGTTGGGCACCAAAAGAACACAGCCCCAAGGAAGGAATACAACTGTGACACTGCCTCTATGTCTCGTTTGCAAGTGCCACATTTTTAACGAGGCCTCTTTGAAAGCGTGCCAAATGAAGCCGACAAAGAATGTGCAAGTCTGGTCTTTTTTGATCCCTATAAAATAAAAAAAGAAAACTCGGTATGACAATGACATGCAAATATAAGTGCTGGAATGATAACGCAGTAACCTGGCTTTCAATGCACACTGCCGAACTCAAACCTCCTACAATTGTAGATTGTACAGTTGATAAGCTGGCTACAGAAACAAATGTACACCCCCAAAATGTCGAAATAATAATCATAATAATAATGATAATATTAGTAAAGACAACTTATTTTACAGCTCGAGTCTCCAATGACTGGCTCAAAATCAGAACGCCAAAAAGAAAGGCAGCAACAAAAGATAGCATTATGTACAAAAGGGTTGAAAAAAAAAAGTATCAATAGTTGAGCAGAAGTCTAGGATAGCGTGCCTAGCACGTGAACACTACTTCAATCCGTGAAAACCCACTCTGTCAAGCCGGTATGCTGAAAAAAAAATAATAAAGGCGTACTGCGAGCTATTTTTCACACTAATACTTTGCGCATGCGATTACGGTTTTCTTAGAGATTCGCCAGAGCTGGAAGGCAGAAACTGTACAAAATGAACAGAAAATTAAAAAAAAAAACTGCAAAGCACTTTTGTAACTGGATCTAGTGCCTGCTGTCTCGCACCAGGTCACCACATCTGCAGAGCTGTAAGTTACATCATTTGCAATAGTGAGAATGCAGCTTTTGCTAATAAGAGTAGGCTCCCCGTGATTCTTGGTGGTTTAGTCATTTGATCCTGCTAAAAAGTAAAGTGACTTCAAAGTATTTTAAATACTGCTTATTTCTTCAGGTAACACAGTCTTCTGAATATGTGACATTGCACATATCAGGTTCAGCCGATTCAACTTCAAAGAAGCAGCGAAAGTGCCTGCCCCGCAAGAATGCCGTAAGAGCAGCAACTTACTTCGCCGATTCTAGTTTTTAAATAAAAAAATGGGGGGGGAGGATGGATGAATTTTGAGCCACCCTCAACGTGGCTCAAAATCAAGCTTCTGCAAGTTTCCTGCTGCCGAAAACTGAGTCGTAGCAAGCCCAACGACTAGCAGTTGTAGGAGATGGGCCAATACAACCAGTCATATATCTTTGACGAGTGCTGGGTTGTATCCACCTGGACAGCGCTTCCGAAATCTCCTTCCAAAACAAACTAGACACATGCGCACACAAGGGTCAACCATACGTAACAATTTGGTGTATGTCGACTTGTGACAAGAACCATTTCTTCGGTAATGGTTGCGAAAACAATGACAAGCACTGAGACAAAAGAAGGCATAAAATAAACGTCCACGATAGCGTTGGAAACGCGTGCACCCGGTGGCCTTTGCACGTAGACACCACTGCTCTCGTCGTCGCCGCTGCTCTTTCGCTCGCATTTTACCGTTCGCGCCGTGCGGGTGCTGCCGTGCACCCCACATGCCTTTCCTTTGTTTTCAGTCTCTGCACTCTCCTTCTTGCTACAAGCACAGCACTGAGGTCGTGCGAGGAGAGCAGAGGTGAGAAGTGAAAAGTCCAGTCCTTTTCATGACTAGGCAAGTCCTTGCTGCTTCTCGAATTCACTCCAGGCATCGTTGAGCTCCATGAAGATGAGCTTGGCTAGTTCTTCATGCTCGGTGCCCACAAGCTGGTCGGGAAGAGAGGACAGCACACAATACAGTTAGAAAGTGGTCCGAACAAAACAATTCCATATCAACTTTGACTGCCTGTTCCTTAATGTGCACCTATATCTAACAGTTCAAGTATTCTCGCATATTGGTCCTCTGTAAGTACGCTTGCCGTGTGTGAGAATTGTAAGGTGCGGCACTGCCAAAGCTCCTTAAGCTTGGCAGTGCCGCACCTACCCACTAAGCTGTCATGGTAAGCTTGGAAATGCTTTTGGAACAGCTATACTAAGTGCTTGAGAGTGCACAGTAGAAGAAAAATTCACATGACATCAATGATGACAGGTAGCAGTCATAGCATGTTGGTCTGCTTTCAGGTTGAGGGACCAAAGACTTTCACTAATGCAGCCAGCATATAAATTTTGTTCCTATAGTTGATTTTATGGACAAAACAAATAAGGAGAGAAATACAAGCTGCTTAAATCGGGAACAACCATCCCAGGCTGCTACAGTCGATGTACATGTATGAGTATACTACGCATTAGTAGTGCGAGTAGCAATATTATGGGTGAGAAGAAAATTTAAGTAACAAACTGAGCGCAGATCAAATCGTATAATTGTATGCTCATACGGTGGCCCGACATCTCGAACCGGAAGTCGATGCAGACTGGCGCTGTAGCCCACAATCCTCTGCGTGAGCCACAATTTTTCTATCCACCTATGGTATCAGCATCAGTAGTTGGCAAGTTAATATGGCAAGTTGGGATACCACAATTCATTGTTCGTGAGTTGCTGCATGGGGGGTTACATTAAAGGGGCCCTGCAACACTTCATCAACTACCCATGGAATGAATTCGCTGAAGAAGCTTACTGCCTTGCGAATTCACCGCCGAAAAAATTTTTCGTTTCCGTCCACTATGAAGCTGAGTTGCAAAGATTTGTCACACGCAGCAGCCACATTCTCTCCCCTCTTGTCCCGACGAAAGCGCTGGGAGCTAAGCAGGGATGGATGGCATGGGGAAAGAAAATAAGTCACGCATGCCTCGTGAACTTGAACACTTTATTTTTTTTTTTTTCGAATACACGGCTTTCCAGTGCGATCGCATGTGCATGCGTGGATAAGTTGTGGTCTCTCGCGGCAGCCCCAGTAACGACCAAGCGCCCCAAGCTCAAATTAGCCAATGGCAGATAGAATGGCTGTGATAAGTGATTTTTGAGCTGTAGTGTCATTTGTCGAGAAAATAGAAAGCAACATTTAGCTGACGGAGAATTTATTGTGAATTCCAGGCCACAGGCTGCACTGTGATATTCGGCTCTTCCGTTCTCGGAAGCCTCGACCACCGATCGGTAGTGTTTTCTGACCATGCTCGAAAAGTGTTGCAGGGTCCCTTTAGGACACAAAAAGCTACTCAAGCAGAATAATGGGTCAGGTCCTGCACTAGCGTACGCCATCATTCTCTGCCATACGCACCTTGTCGGGATGTACGGCGAGACAGGCCTTACGGTAGAGGCGCTTGACGTCAGCCGGCGACACAAGCTGGTGCATGCCCACCTCAGTCCAGCGGCAGCCCTCCCAGATGACCGTGTGCAGCGAGCACAACAGTGCCCGGATGTTGCGCTCCTTCTTCGTTGTCCAGTCCATGATCTACGGCATTGGCACAGGATCGATGGCCAATGGTTAAGTATGCCTCGTGGGCTGACAACGAGTCATTCCACTGCCAACACTGGCTGTGGCTCCGACAGTACACAGTTGCGAATGCCGCAAACATTTATTGCTTGCATACAGGTAGCGAATATTCTGCACAGGGCTATAACAGCAGTGGAACAAATGGAAAATTAAAGGTCAGCATTCTGAAAAATAATCGTTACAGACTGTATTTTCTTCCTGTTACCTAACAACAAAAGCCCTACCGTACAGTCAAAGCTCATTAATACATACCCATCTAAGTGTACTAACTAGGCTTGTGCAAATAGTCGAAAGCTTCAAATATTCAAACTAATAATGCAGTATTCCAATTCACTTCGAATTGAATTTAAATTATTCAAAATTTTTAATTATTTGTAACTAATGAATACTGCATATTAATACGCATGTGACAACATGTAAAGGTGGTTGCACTGCAGTGGAGTGATGCTAAGCCATGAAAGTACCCGATCAAGTGTATATTAATTCGCATATATTCTTGGCAAAAGTGATTTCACTGCAGTGAAGTGGTGCTATGCCATAGAAACACATACCCATGAGAAATATGCAGCGCAACGAAGCCCCACTTCAAGGTTAAATGAGAATATTACCCTCACATCGATTCATTCTTTGAGTTTAAAAGCTTGTTATACCAACTTACACCCCTGACACACGGGCGCCCTAAAGTCCTTTCGACGGGGGGGGACAGTTTAAAAGCTTGTTATACCAACTTACACCCCTGACACACGGGCGCCCTAAAGTCCTTTCGACGGGGGGGGACATCTTCCAAAAAGAAGTTTAAGTGCAGTGACACACTACAAAGAAGTAACTCCTGTCCGGCAAAGATCCTTTTCAATAAAGCAGATCCCGTATCTACCTTTCGGCCCGGAATGGCGTACTCCCAAACGCCCGCAAGACGTCACAAGCACCCCGTTGGCAGCGGCAGTTGCTGTGTCTGGTGCCGTGTGTCATCGGCGTAACTCCTTTCTGTAAATGGTCCCTTTTGCCGACAAAAGGGGGTTTACTTCGATGTACTTTACTTTTCCCCGCGTGTCGCAGGTATTACATGCTCCAAGCGGAGCACATTTTAAAAGTAACATATTTTTACAGGCTATCACTTGTATTCTACAGAAAGTCAAATTTTTGAGGCAGATTTTTGAAATAAGCGAAGTTGCGCTAATCGTTGTAAAAGATGAGTGCTTTTGAGAAAATTACTACTACTCATCAGCTCTTCAATGGCAGTTTCCAATCTTTCTTCTCATACAGGTTTAAAAGCGAAAGAAATAACATACAAGGGACGTACCCACTGGGTTTTGCCACAATTACATTTTTTTAGCAGAGAAAAACTGCCTAATGCTCATCAACTTTGCGGTCATACTCGGGCCTAAGAAGGTGTCATCCGGCTGCTTGACACGTCGGATCAGTGTATCTTCACCACCCCTGCACTAGACCTTATTTCGAAGCAAGCTGAGCAAATTTATCGTCTCAGAAGACGTCGGAACTTCTCCAGGTGGTTCGTTGTCGCCGTCGTCTCCGCCATCCTCTACTTTAGCGGCCGTTTGCACTCCTTTGACGCCATGCTTGCCACATTCACGGTAAGTCGTCGCTCCTCACAGTCAGGAAAAGAATTCGTACCGTTCGGTTTGCGCAGATGAATGGAAAACACAGCTAAGAGAAAATCCCGAGCACTCCACTCACAGTCAGCGAAAAATCTATACCACGTGGTTTGCGCAGACGAATGGAATTCACACTTCACGAAAAATTATGTGCACAGCATAAAGTTAACGAGAGAAAAACTACACCAAGCGTGGACAGAGGGCCTCCCTGATCAGCACATGTGGCACATGACGTGCTACAGGGTTGCTTGAAAAAGTTGATGAGTCGCTGGGCTAAAACACTGCTCACTTCCCATTCGCGTATGCGTCAACATAGTGGCAGGCGTGGCTAAATAGGAAAACAGATCGTGGCAGCATTGCACAAGTCTTGTGAAATGGTCCGGTGGCGGAATTTTCGTTCCCCTCTCAATTAAGATTTCAAGTTATCCGCAATCCGACCCAAAAATACCTTGAGATAAAAAAAATATACATGGGACGTATAGGCAAATGTTGGGTGCCGCGGAAAGTTTCGACTTTGCAAATTTTTTAGATGCATGTGCAAGTTCGAGTTATTAAGGTATTACTGTTGTGTACAGGTTAGCTGGGCCATGAGAGATATGCTTATTTTTCTTTATAGCATGCGATACATATACTAGGCGAATTCGATTCAAAATTATTCGACCAAAATCACTATTGGCTCCGAACTTAAAATTCACTATTTGCACAAGCCTAGTACTAATGGTCAAAATCTAGTTGCAACGAATCCCCCAAACGAGCCTCATAAAGATTAATGCATTTGCGTGCCGCTTAAGCCAAAGTGTTCGCCATATGCCTACCGGTTAGTGCGTACTAACAGCGTACCGTGATAACATTTTGCACCCAAAAATTTTACTGCAACACTGAACTTTCAGACGCCACAATGTGCTGTGAACGGTTTTCGGTCATGTTGATAAGTGTGTAGATCAGCCAATCAGTTATTATGACTTCCGCACGATTGTGGTGATGACTTTGAAAGTGATCATTGGGAAAAAATGAAGGCGAGGTGGCGGTCACCGACAAACATGCTGGTATGACTTATCACCGCGAAAAGCCTTATGACAATATTATAATATAGATCGACCTTTTTTTTTTTTTTCACAACTAGTTATCAATCTATATTAACGACCAAATAATCTTTACCTATATTTATGATCAAACCAACCAAAAGCACCAAGCTTATGGCGTTAAACTGCCGTGCCCGCTGTTCTTCAAGCAGTTCCTGCTACATGCGCATGTTATATACCATAAAATCTAAAATAAAGACCACCCCAGGCCCCCCCCCCCCCTCCGTTTCTTGACTAAGTAATTAACAAAAAGGTTGTTGATGCAATAGCCGCATACCAGCTTTTGAAAGCCCCCGCGAAATGCAGCCACTCCGCCATGTTTGCGATGAAACCAAGTTTCTAGCCCGCCAGACGTGCTTCCAGTACCTCCATCCAGCATGCAGCTGCACTGTCCTGAGGCCTCGCCACCTCGCTCTTTGTTCGCTTCACAATTGCGGTGACGGTTCGCATTTGCTTGTCCGCGGTTGTGACAATGTCACGACGGCAGAGTTAGACAGGCGACTTCAAGCGCCAAGTACTTTTTGCCGAAGACTCGACCAACTGTGTCACACAGCGCGAGTTCTGTGTGAATGAGAACTTGATTAGGGGTTGGCGAAAGCAGCAAGACAAGCTGTTTGCGTGCAACGGACGGCGTCGTGCTTTTCGCGGCGCAGCAACCGGCAGCAATAGCAGCGAGGATGACATCGTTTGGGAAGATGTGGATGCTTGCGAAGAATCCAATGACAACAACATTCTTGATACATCTAACGAAGATGACCGCACCGGCAGCAATTAGGGCGCTAAGTTATGCAAATAAAGGTGTGCTAAGTTTCAATTTTTCTGTTTCTATATACATAAAAAAGGAGGGGGGGGGGGGGGCAGACTATTTGAATGCTTTTTTTTTGGTTTTTTTTTTTTTTAATTTCTCATCTAACACTATAATTAGGGGTCAACCTATATTCGTGTCCTATTTTCGAGTAAATACAAAAATTAGCAGCAAGAAATGACACACAAGTAAGTTATTTGCAAACAGAAGCACCATGTCATATACACTCAAACCTTCATACAAAACTCTGATATAACAAAATATCGGTTATAACGAAGTAAATGAAGAATAGTCTTGCAATAGATATAATGTAGGAATAACCTTTATGAGAAATTTTTGGATATAATGAACTTATTTTCGTGTAAGATGCAACTTTGTTATGAGGTTTGAATAAATGAGCAAGTGTGAATGATCTGTGGCTTACTTTTAAAGATATTGTCTTTGAATGCGTGGAGCGTTTCATACCGAAAATTGTTAAAAAAACTGAATGCCGGAACCCCTGGATTACAAGAGAAACGCTACATTTACAGCGAAAACTTAAACGAATAAAAAGCAAAAGAGCGAAATCTCATGATAAAGCTGCTTATACACCGCTGATAGCTAACCTGTCGGGCGAACTAAAACTGCAAATTGTGCGCGACAAGGAAAGATACCACGAAACATCGCTTCCAACTTTAATCAAAACATCACCCGAGAAATTTTGGAGGCTTATCACGCCAACATCTCGCTCGATTGACTCATTCACGATAAGCGGCCAAAGAACATGCAATGAAGAAATAGTTTGTTCCGCCTTCAACAACCACTTCAAGTCTGTTTTTACTTGTGATAATGGCATCCTTCCTGATTTTTCAATATCGCTCCCACCTATTCCAGACTTAGTCATTTCCGAGAATGGCATTTTAAACTTACTGCTGAATCTGGATGTTAAAAAATCAACCGGGCCAGATGGCATTCCAAATGCCTTCTTGAAGCGCTACGCAGAATGGTGTTCTCGCTATTTGTTTATTTTGTATACCCATTCGTTGATTGAGGGCCAACTGCCAGATGACTGGAAGATCGCCAAAATTAAGCCTTTACACAAAGCGGGAGACAAGTCATCTATTCCGAATTACCGACCGATTTCTCTTATATCAACATCATGTAAAATTCCAGAACACATTATTCATAAACATATAATTACCTTCCTTAATTCTCATAAAGTATTAACAAATGTTCAACATGGGTTCAGGCGGGGCTTTTCAACGAATACTCAATTAGTGGAAATTACACATGACTTTGCTCAAGCAATTAACGAAGGGAAGCAGACGGATGCCATATTTTTGGATTTTCAAAAAGCCTTCGATAAAGTTTCGCATGCTAAATTACTTCACAAATTAACTTGTATTCTACAAAACAAAAAGATCCTTGACTGGATAACAGCATACCTAACAAACAGGCGTCAATTTGTTACGGTAAAAAATACATCTTCTAAACACGCTCCTGTAAACTCAGGCGTTCCTCAAGGATCCGTCCTTGGGCCTCTTTTTTTTCTGTTATATATAAATGATATCGTCACTGACCTTTCTGTTTACATTAGGTTGTACGCCGACGACTGTGTCTTATATGAAAAGATCACCTCAGTTGATGATCAAATTAAACTAAATCGGAACTTTCTAAAAGTAATTTCGTGGTGTGACAAATGGCAGATGCCTGTTAATTTTGCTAAAACAGTTTTTATGAGAATTACCCTTAAAAAAGACCCTCTTTTGTTCCAGTACTCCACCAACAATACAATTCTGTCAGAAGTAACTCAATACAAGTACCTTGGTCTCTGGATTACAAAAAATCTATCCTGGTCAAAGCACATAGATTTTGTAGTTGCTAAATCTCTCCGTAAACTTTTTTTCCTAAGGCGTTCTTTAAGATCAACCACACCAAGTATTCGTCTCCTCGCTTACAATGCCATTATCCGTCCTATACTGGAGTATGCTGTGGTCATATGGGACCCGTTCACTCAGACTGACATCCAAAAACTTGAAAGGGTGCAAAAAAAGGTTGTTAGGTTCATTTATAACTCGTATGGTCCTACTTCGATTACAAAACTTCTCTTGAAAAGCAAATTTCCAAACATTCCGGACCAAAATCGAATATTGCGCTTAAAATTTCTTTTCCAGTTAATAAAAGGTCACTATGCAGTCGACACATCACATATCGTTCACTTTTCATTGGGTTACGAAACAAGACAGAGACACAATCTTACTATCTCTCCATTGATGCAACGAACAAATTGTTTCAAATATTCTTTTTTTCCCGAGGACTATCGTGGATTGGAACAATCTACATAACGATGTTGTTACCCTAAATACATTGTCTGCATTTGAAGAGTCACTGCAGAAATGATTGTTATCTATGTTTGTACCTTGCTTTTTGTTGATTCTCTAGTCTCGAAGAATCACTGCAGCTATCAGTTACATAAAATTGTATTACATTTGTTTTTTATTGTTTGTTTGCCTGGTTTCACTGATGTTTATGTTTATGTTTTGTACCACCCCTGCTATGATCTTGTAAAAGATCGCAGTACCAATAAATAAATTTAAAAAAAAAATAATTTGTTAGCAATTACACATCAGAATGGAGGTGATGTATTTCATTAAATAATGAGTTCATGAAGACAAGATGGCACACTCAAAACAGATAACCGGGTTCCCTGATAGTTCTTCAAAAGAAGCTAAACTTAAATTATCCAGAGCCTACTGTATGTGCAAGTGGAGGCCCTGCCCCCTCACCATGAGCTTTATTGGGTCCATCTCTTTGGCCATCTCTGCCCGGCGAAGCTCAGCAATCGTCTTCGGACCTGTGTCCTTCTTGCCAAAACCCGAGAAGCCCTGCGTGCCCAGAAGGTCCTCGAATGTGTCCTCCGTCAGCTTTGCCTTCTGGCCTGAGTACATAGACAATGCAGAAAAAAAGAAAAAGGTAACCATAAGAATTGGGCGCACTTCTAGGAAGCAAGTAAAATTTGTGTGAAAACAAGAACAAGATGACTGTCGGTGCATGCAAACAGGCGCAGTATGCAAGCAATCAGTTTACCATGTCAGCACTTCCTCTATTTTCTTCAATACCAGTCAGATGCACTTGATCCATCCATGTTCACCACCCACTCGTCTTGTTCCTTCCTACTGCACTCCTACATTCCTACTTTGATATAACATGACTTAACGAAATATCGATTATGACGAGGTAAATCAAGAATAGTCTCACAATAGATGTACAGTTAATGACATACTTTTATAACAAATTGTTCTATATAACGAACTTATTTTCATGTAATATGCAACTTTGTTATAATGAGGTTTGAGTGTATACCCTGTCGGCTAGCCTTCACATTTGCTTCACAATTATGGGCAAGCGTACCGTTTCAGTGGAGCCCCACGGCAGTAGTCAGTGTAAGCAATATTTGATCAGTCGTGTTCTTATACACGGGACGTGTCTTGCACCTATCATGATCCCTCTGTTGGCCATCATGCTGGCTCTGTTAGACACTGTGTACTGAGATGGCGCGTCCCATTTCTTGGTGCCAGGCATGCTACCAAATGGACAGCATTGCTTTGAGCCACAGAAGTCTCACACACACATGCTATAGGAGAGGGCTGGCACATCTAATGAATCTGCATGGGAACATGCTCAACGAACATGAGATCTAAGCATTTGTACCGTTTAGGTGACGTCATACCATGACAACTCCCTGAACTAAGGCGGACCAACAGTTCCCGTTAGAAAGCGAGCATTCGCAATTCGCATTGAAAAATAAAATAGAGAGGGCATTAGCTTTGCTAATCTCTTAACAGTCTATTGCACCGTAGCGGTGCCAAAAATGACGACGCTGATGGCAATGAAAATGACGATGATCACCGACCAGAACTGGTTGTGCAGTATATGACGCATCGATATGCCCTACGATACATTTCGTATGAGTGAAAACAACCAGCAACCACCAGGGGAACGTGCACAGACATCATATTTGCAAACCTCAGGCTAGATCCGATACCACTTTTAAAACGGTAATAACAAAAGCAAAACGAAATTCGCAACTCGACAAAACATACCATTTATGACCAACCAACAAGGTTTATTTAAAAACCTTGTAAGTAACTGCACACCGCTTTGTCACTGATTTACGTGCATGAGCGGTCAATGTCACGGGTGATTTACGATAACACCAAACGGTACCACTGCTTTGCCCACTTATCATTCACTTCGTGCATATTCAGTGTTCTTAATGCAACAGCGTTGAAGAGCTTGTCTCGCAGAAATGCGTCGGTGCTGGTGTCAGCATCGGCAGTTGTGAGCGAAAAATCATCATCTTTGTGCGACCAAAAAATCAAGCAAGACACACATAAAACAAATAATAAAGAAATCTGGGTCTGAGTGGGGATCGACGTCGGGTCGGTTGCGTGGCAAACGGGTGTTCTACCAAACAGCCACGCCTCTGCGTGTGAATACCGCGAAGGTAATTTCCTCTGCTTGGAAATGCAGTGAAAACAACTTTCATGCTTTACAAACACGTGCGTCCTGTATACACGCTTCACATCAAAACATGAAACATTGCCGTAATGTGTGGTACAAGCCTACAGTGCCATCAGGCGTCAGTACATGGGATCGTAATAATGACTTCATAGTCAAAAGCTAGTGGGTGCATAGCTAGTTTGAAAACATTTTATACACTAAGTGCTCGAAGTACACACTTGGAACAGAATAATGCTATCAAGTTCTACTTTTAAAGGCGAAACGTAACAATCCCCAATTTTTTTCCTTCCTGAGGAGAAGGGTAAGTTTCTTCAGTTTGATATTGAATATATTGCTTTTTAAAGGCATGTCTTGATGCACACAAAAAAATTCAATCATATAATAAGTCAATTTAGCATAACAAAATTTATTGCCCTACGGGCTAATAATGTCTTTCCTGATTCACAAAATAATGGCCTCTTCCAGAAAGTGGCAAATTCCATAACACTTCAAGACAACAAAGCCAACTTCAGTATCTGAACAAGTGGTGCGCGAAGGGCTGTAACATGAGGAAAGGCTTATTTTCCATGACGAAAAATGGCCAACACAGGCGTTTCGTTCACTGGACCTGGTTAACCTTCCAGCCTCTCTAATGCTTTTCTTTCCCCCTTTCCTTTCTGCCTTCACAGAACAACATATCTGACACACGACTCGAAAAAAATGCAAATTGGTGGTTAAAATAAATGGCCAAGCAAGTGCTGCCACCTGTGAAGAAACACACAAACTAGCTTGCAAACAAGCGATTCTCATTCAAAACACTCACGGGGAGACTATCTCAAGTGGACCAGAAGCACTCGCCCAAACGGTTTGAGCATGGCTGGGCAAGGACGTGCAGTGCTTGTCCACAATGATTGACGGATTAAAGGAGTATCGATACAATTTTAAGGCATCACAAAAAGGGCATTTTTTTGTTTCGTTGGCATGCAGTGTGTGTTGTCCCCCCACATCGAAGCTAGGAAACATGTATAAGGTGCTTTACTTTCATTTGAAAGTTTTCTGTTGCCCAACATCTCCAATATACAACTCTACCACTATGGGCATTATCACAACGAGTCCTGTACACAGTTAGCCGACTTTCCGAACTCTTCCTCCTACATGCAGCCGAAATTGCTGTCATAAGCGGTGGATGCCAATTCACCCTTTCTTATACACAACACATACAGTGTCACAGTGTTGTCCTTTACGAGAGAGAATTCACGAGCGTGTGACCTGAGCTCTGCAGTGGCTGCAGACAGCACCGTCAACCGACATCTGAAGTAAGCACGTCCACCTTTGAAGTCAACCACTAGGAAACAAGATAATGAGTCATGGCGAGCGGACACACACAGCTAGATTACGCTCCCATTCCGGTCTGGCAATGGGCAATGCTGACAAAAGCGGGCGTGCTTTCATTAGCTGCCAGTTGATGGTGCTCTAGGACAGCGGGCGCAAAGCGCAGGCTAGGCGCTCAAGCGTTGGCTTTCATAAAGGATGACTGTGTGGTACAACTAACAGCGAACTGCAGAGTGCTGCAAGCACACCAAGAACTGCTGTGCCCCAGTGAACCCCTATCAGATTTTAGTGTTCAGCATTGGTAATTTTATTAAGAGCAATAAAATTAAAATTTCTGAAATTCACATCAGTGGTACAATTAATCCAGACGGAGGTGTTCCGTTCGTTACGTCAAAAAGTGGGTGGTCCGCATCGGTCGCGAGGACGAGGGGAAGCGAACAGCCAATGTGGAAAGTGGAGGCCTGCGTCACAATTTTGACGTCGGTTTGAGGACCAATTGAGCGCAATTAAAACGTGACGCGTCCAGTGTCTCCGACCTGCGAAGGATGCGCCCAGAGTCTGCGACGGACGCACTTGGTGCCTCTGCAAGGGACGCAGCACACTCGTAATACCACGGAGTGAATGATGATGAGTGGGGCGAAGCTTGAAAGGGTTTCATTGGTAAACCGTGAATCCTCCCTCCGTCCGTTCATCTGTCCATCTGTCCGTACGTCTGTGCATCTGTCCATCTGCCAGTCTTTCTGTCCATCCGTCTCTCTGTCTGTCCGCCCGTATGTCTTTCTATGACAACGAACACTGACAGACAGACGGGGCAGTTATGACAACGAAGGGAGGATTGAGCCGCAGCGTATGTGCATTAGGCCCGCTGCGATGCCAAGTTCTCAAAGTACCCGAATACCGAAAGGCGCGAAGCCCTAACATTTGAATCCAATTCATGCCACCTCGCAGCCATATCAATCCATCCGTTTCATTTCGGATGGTCTTGGCGACTGTTCTTCCCCCTCCATCCGAGAAACGAACAAAAACAGACATGTGACACCTTGGCTCAAGTAGCATAAAATGTCACGGCATTCATCACGGCTCAAATGGGCCATTCGCGTGCGACTAGATGGAGCGGAATGCCTTTGTCAGAGTTTGGCTCATGTGAAATATAACATCACGGCAATCGTCACGACTCAAATGGGCTAATCGCGTACGACTCGATGGAGCAAAGCACCTCCATCCAAATATGGCTCACGTGACAGAACGTCACTGCATTCCCCATGGCTCATATGTGCCAATCACGAGCGACTCAATGAAACAGAACGCCTTCGTCCGGATTTGGAACGGTATAAAAATGCACCACAGAACTCTTAAGGGAGAGAGACAAGAGAAACGTGGCAGCGGCCAACGTGGTTGTGCCGTTTTCTTGCCACTTTGTTTGGAAAGCCAAGAAGAGGGACGGCGGCTACTGTGTCCGACCGCTCTGCTTCGGCCCTAGAAATAAAATGACAAGATCGGCATGGCAATGTGGGCTGCCTTCACGACGTCTCACGTTTCGACTCTCTCGCTACAAAGAAATGGTGTGTATTTGTGCGAGTGAGGCTCGTTAAAATGCATTTGCTGTTTCAGTGAGCAATTTTGCAGAGAACAGTTCTGCTAACCAGTAAACCTGTCAAATGCACAGCTGAGGATGACACAGTAAGGTGCCGAGAAAACTGCCAGTATGCAATGACCAGCAACGCCATTACCTTGTTCGTCGAGTGAGGGAATGTGACATCCCTAAGCGACTCGGAAGACGCAACAGAGACAACAGTGAAAGACTTCTGTTTAAGCTTGACAATGTGGGTTTCTTCAGTATGCAGTTAAAGCAAAGCACAAAGGTTATCCTGTGTTCCTCACAAGGGACACAAGTGCGGTGACCAGGATTGAGCCCATAGTCTCCACCTGGCCACGAAAAACACCCCACAGAAACATGGGAATGCACAAAAAGGCACAGGTGAAAGGTGAAACGACATGGCTTGTCTCCTGCTACGCACACTTCAGCCCCATTTTCATCATGGGTAACAAACCTGCCTAAATAATAGGTGTATTAAAGGGAACCTGAAGCACCTTTCTAGAAAAAGATTACATTAAACCTTTCAGGGGTATCAGGCAGGCGGCCGCGTTAAACCTAATTCAAGGGTTAACGTTATTAGAGTCTATGCCATGTCTGAGAGATCTGCATCTAAAAACGTATCTCTAGAGGCAACATTTGTTGTGGCGAAACACAATCAGTCTTTCAAATTTCTGTTGAGAGTTGTGAAAGCTGTGTTACATCAAGTTGGCATTGCGCAAGAAAGACCGGAAACAGGCGGCGTGCTCCAGCCAATCAGGAGAGATCGAATTGGACACATCCACGAATTGGACATCGCGAGAATAGCTCCCCTGGCATCATACTCCACAGTAACATTTGGCTTATGAGGTCTCAGTATTCTCGACTACCAATCAGCAGATTTTTCTGGTTATGTAGGCACACACAATGCTGTTGAGACGCCAGTTTTTATAGATGTGCACAAGCGTTATCAGCTAGGCCTATTGGCGTGCAAAGACGTTCAAAGCAGAGACTGTCAATTCGCAAAATTTTTCCTAACCATTGCTGTAAGGTGCCCCAGCCGGAGCTGCAGTTTTTTCCACAAACACACTTGCGCCACCGGGTGCAGCTGCAGCGCTGTAGTTAGGCTTAGCAGGCCCCGCTGCTGTGCCTGTCTGAGCAGCTGGGGGAACAGCGCTGCCAGGTCTCCACTTTGTGCCGTTGGCACCGGCACCGCCAACCTGTGTGCCACTTCCAGTTGGCTGCGGGCTGCTCGTGGCTGTGGCTGACTTCGGTTGCGACCAAGCAGGGAAGCCAGTCGCGGTTGCCGCTCCAGTCTTGGAGGCTGCACCGGCACCGGTGGAGCCACCAGTCAGGTTTCCTGTAGCCATAATAATATAATTACTGTTGAGCTTTCATGTACCAATAATAAATGGCAATTCATTACTGTGAATATTGCAAAAATAAATTGGGTACGTGAACCGACCTAGGTCTGCAAACGGGTCGGCCTTGCGCCCGAGCGCCTCGAGGTTTGGCGTGGAAGCATTGCGCGTCAGCCCAGATGCCGGGGTCCCCGCTGCGCTACCACCCGTCGAGGGCACGAGCGGCACCCACGTGCTGCCTGGGAACAGGGTGTCCCATGTCCCTGGCATGGTGTCGAGTTTGGCGGCTCCTCCGCCACTCTGAGTCGTCGCTGTAGAAGTGGCAGCCATGTTGAAGGCTGATACGCTGTTTGGGATGCCACCCTGCTTGTGCTGTGTACAAGTGAGGGCCAAAGAAAAATAAAATATGAAAATAATAAAATAACATGTCTGCAGAAACAATGGACTCTAAATAGTGTCTGTATGTTCACACTGACATAGTATTTCCTCACTTCTAAGGCTCATTCTTTATCTAAGAGTAGTATAAAAAAAACAGTGTCCCTTATGTATTGAACAACTCAAATGCAAAATCAATATATTTCTTCACAGTTGATGCATTCATCCTCCTCTATCTTAAAAAGCCTTCCCCACCTAAAAAATGCATTTAATTGATATTGATAAGACCAACCGCGATCCCTTCAAGTCTGTCATGAAGGAAGACTACTGTAAATTGCCAACACCCATGTGGATATGACGGTATCTGTGCTGCCAATGATGCTTCATTACAACCAGGTTTCAACTTCATATCTATGCAGCTTATGTACCTATGAACATTATTTACGGCATTGCTCAATTGTAGGCTGGTGCAAATAGTAAACTTTAGGTTAGAAGCGAATAGTGATTTAGGTCGAGTAATTTTGAATCAAAGCCCAGAGTTGCGCACATTTCTATAGCTTTTATGCGGGTGCACTCCGCTGTCATAAGTAGCGTCCTTGCATGCGGCTCCTGGACGAATTCGGTGAGTAGCGTTTCCAGTTTGGGGTGCACTGCAGTCAGTCCACGAAACAGTTTCTTTTTGGCTGCTGTAGGGTGTGATGCGTTGCTTCTGGCTCTTCCAGTATGAGACGCTTTTCTTCTATGCACCGAATAACCAATGTGCCGCCAGGTTGCTGTGCGCTTCAACATACTTCATAACTTTTTTTTTTTATAGCCTATCATTAACTGCTGTCGACTACCACTCATTTCTAAAGAAAATAGAAAAAAAAAAGAAACTGCAGACTGACAGAGATAACTGAAGCAAAATGGCATTGCCAGTACACTGTAGGTCTTGCATAGTTTTGCCCAACAGCGCCGCTGCTGATGCTCACGATGGCAATGGAGGCCTTTGACTTCAGCTGCCCGTCGTAGCGAGACTTCAACATTATTATCTGCCATGACCGATATATAAAACGAGGATCGGCTTTTCATTGCGTCCTCCGAGAAAAAAAATTCGACCTATATTCCGGACCTATATTACGGTTTTTAGGGTACGTTGACAGCGATAAAATATTACAAGCGCGAGACACTCGGACTAGCAACTTTTGCTGACCAAGCTTACAGCACAGCTTACAGGGTATTGCACCTGAATGTATGAAACGGAGTACCGTGACCTCAGTAACTCTGTGCCTCAGCGTCCCACCTGTGGTGTGTTCCCTGCGCTGACACTGGTGCTAGCCCAGCCGGGAGCAGCAGAAGCCGGGGTGGCCGCGCCAAACGGGTCGAAGAGGTCGGCCCCACCCTTGGTGACTGTCGGAGACTTGGCATCCAATAGGTTGACGGTAGGAACACCCGACGCAGGCGCTGCCCCCGTGGAATTGGCGGCAAACGGGTCGAAGGCCGGGGCGCCAGGCGACGAGAGGTCCCCGATCAATGGTGGTTGCGCCGACTGCGAGGCAAGCGATAACACAATCCATGACAGAGTCAGTTTTATGATGTAATATCAGAGGTGATTACTGTTATCGACACACCACATACTGAGTAACAATGACAAGAATAATGTCTCAAATATAGTGATCCAAATAATTAACTACCTAACATATCTCAGTAAGTGGCACTCCTGTTAAACAGAACACACTTTGCCGGTTCCTTCAGGTTCAGATAACAAGAGCCTACTAATTATCCACCAAAAGGCGATTTTAGGCCGAATGGCAGGATTTTTGGACTAGGTCAAGAAAGACGACCAGCAAGCAGAAAAACTACACAAAGCCTACACACAGTGAAGCCCATGCTAGACAAACATGTTTGCAATAGTCAATATTAATTTAAGATGTATCATAGGTAATACCTTATTTATTATGTCCCCATTCATATGTCAAATGAGTTCAGTAGCAACCATCAGTTTGCTGTAAATAAAGAACATTCTGCATGGGGAACATTCTGCGAAGAACACGTGCTGCTTTCCTCTAGCTAAGCCAGCACTGACCCTGTGGTTGACGAGAAGGTCAAAGTTGGACGTTGGCTGGCTGGACAAAGAAGTGCCCAGGAGGTCGTCCACCGAGCGGTCCGAGGGTGCTTTACCCTCTCCACCACTACCCTCGTCAACGGAAAAGCTCCCCAGGTTGAGAAGGTCCGCCTCCTTTGCCTTGGACCGCGGTGGACGTGCCGGTGCACTGCTATTCGTGGCCACCATGTTCCCACTGTCCGATGCTGAAAGCTTGCGCATGGGGCCCAGCAGGATCTGGAATGAGCGAGATGCAGAGGAGGTGAAGCAACAACTCCTTGCATTTTACCTCAAACTAAATTTTTCATATCCGTTTTGTTGCATGACCTGAAGTGCACTTTACAACTGTCACCCACTATATGACGCATGCTTACGATCAAAGCAGGAAGCAGTGGATGGTGAACAGAGCTACGGGCAGCAAAGTGGAGTGGTGAGGAGAACCCTGACTATGCCTAATCTCTAATACTTTTGCCCTCAAACTCGACGACGTTGTAAGGAGTTGGCACGGTAAACTTCAAGGTGGCACTGAGAGCTAAATTTTCTTTTTATGCATTTACTTGCTAACCAAGTACTTTAAGACACCAAAAGTATACTGTGATATGGTGGAAGGGTATCTCACTAATAACGCTAATACAAGTGTCGTACAAATGACACTTGTACGCTTGTAGAAATACAGACAACAATATTCTCTTGTGCGTGCCTTCAAGCCTACAAGGGGAGCTACCTTGATACACATTCTGCGACAAAACAAAAATTGTCCAGAGGGGACCAGAGGGAGCCCCACAGCATTAATGAAGGCTCGTTTGATGGCTAAACGCGAGAAGAGCCACCAGAAAAGGCAGTGCTGCCAATCATTTCGGCAAAGACTGGATACAGAACGATCTCCAGATGACTTGCATTGGATCGAAACACCAGCGCTCGGGTCAGAGAATTAAACTAGCCTGCTTTGAGCATGGCTTTCTGCAATCCAGTGCCAAAAGTGTGCGAAAATTTCAACCAGCCCTCCCACCGTGTCTTGCAAGATCGCGACACCAGCTAGTGCCCAATCAAGACACTGAGGGCAGATTTATCTCGGAAATTTTTTTGTTGATTTCTTCGGTAATCTTGATCAGGCTGCACAGGCATATGCAGTTCTTTCTTCCGATTTTAAATATGTAATTACAGTAGAAACTTTTTAATTAGAACTAACTGGAACTGTGTGTGACTGTGAAACATTAAAAAAGTGGGATGTAAGGAACTTGGAATTATTGAAACTGGTCAGACGTGGTCATTTACTGAATCTTCAGATTTCAGGTCAAGATCCAGTGCTGAAGGTGGCGCCAGTGAACTGTGGTACAGCACGTCGTCTCCCACGTGCTAGGGAGCGTTTGCACAGTCAATGCACGCCATATGCTCTCTCTACCAATAGGAACAAGTGGGCATTGTGATGCACATTTGAAGAGCACAGCATGTGATAACAAAAATACTCCCTCTTAAAAATTACATGATGCATGGAAATTATTCCGAAACTCTTCCTTAATAGGCCAAAACAACAATTAAAAACTCTCATCACGTGGCGAGCGCTGAGACGGTGGCGGGAACGAGCAAACTCTTGGCGAGAAAAGACGATCTCTCTCGTGTTCAAACAAATCGACCATCATGACAGCAGCCAACGATGCATGCCGACACACTGAAACTCCAAGGTGCTTCCCCCTAAATCTCTGTGTGTGGACGAATACTCGCCTCTGCAGATGTGGCACTGGGGACATCGCTCTCCGAGTGCTGAGGTGAAGTGTCCCTGCTCGGTAGGCTGGGTGTTGCAGGCGGAGGCGGCCTTCCAGGAGCGTTCCTCGAGAAGTGGCCTGCAACGACGAGAGGACAGCACACCTTGTTACATTTATAGACTACTGAATAGCACACAGAAGGTCAAATATGAAAAACTCAGTTTTAAAATACAGGCACCGTAATGTTTAATTTACTTAGGGGGTTTTGAACATGCGGTTCGCGGGCCGGTCTTGTTAAGGCTATCGGGCCGGTCTTGTTAAGGCTATCGGGGTAAGGCCTAGGATTGGGGGGCGTTATTCCTACGCTCCCGATTCCCTGTCACATGATGTCAATCTGGCCACTTCTGACACCATGTCGCGCGGTTGGTGCCGCAGGGGCAAGGATACAGAGACTGACGCGTGCACACTGCTGCCTCAGACGAAAGTGGAATGCTGCTTTTTATTAGACACGAACGTATGCACGGTGCAAGTAACGGGGTGCCCCGTTCCAGTGGCGGCCTAATAAAAGGGCTGAATTGTGGCGACCTCTACACAAATAAGTGAGAACATTGATTCCCCTCGTTACTAGGCAGTGATCAAGCCAACCTGGCCAAGTAGTGCTCTGCCATCAAAAGCGCCTGCAAGAGTAATCACATTTGGGCTGTCCAGAGAGCCCACGATGGAGTGATCAGGCTTAGCCTGCCCGTACCGACATCTGAGAAGTCCACAGCACACTAGCCGCGTCTCTCAGGACTTTAAATAAAATTTCTTCATCCATCCATTCAGTCTTTTCTTGCGTATTGTGTACCTTAAACTTCTGATGCTATCTGTGCATGAAAACTGTACCGTGAAGTTGAACAAAAGTGCTCAGCACAGCCATGCCAATTATGTTTATGATGGAGCCCATTTCGTGACTGCCTTCTTGGGCGGTCGGCAGCTTCAGGATATTTCCTCAGAGGTTTAAAACAACCATACACACCAATGCAGGCCTCGAGTTCCTCTTCGGTGCTGAACAAGATGGCGGCGCTAGTCTCCAGGTGCTCAAGGTCGGCCCATGGACCGTTGGTGAGCCGCTGGCTGGGAGAGTCACCCACCCGGACTTCGAGGGTCAGCTGGAAGCCCTCAGGGTACCGGTCCAACTCCTCAATGCCATCGAGCTCGTGCCTGCATCAAATTCACACACACGAATGACATCTGTAAAAAACTGCACCAGTGCTCTAAGTTGAATCACGAAAGGCAAAAGAAGGGGGTGGCCATTGCTGCAATATATTTTTCTTTGCTTAAGCAGAATTCACTCTCTAATTCATCTGTAACTGAAGAAAGCACAGTTCATAAAAGAACTTTTATGACAGAACTATCTGTGCACCCAATAGAACAATGGCATACAACATAACATTGTAACAAGGAAATAACACAAGCATGCAGAATTACATGCGTCATCCTGAGTGTAATAATTTTCATTTTTTAATCGCTACCTACACTTCACATTCTCGATTGAGACCTAAGTAGTTTTGCTACTTTATTTCATACTTTTCAAGTTCAAGTTACTTACGCTGTGTGCACAGCAGTTCATGGAACATTTTTACATGATTTTGCCTGCCCAAGCTGTCTGGCCAAGCAACTACTTTACTACAGCAATTAAGCCTAATTCAAGGTACACAGTTTCCATAATAATGACAAGACAAGCAAAGTTTAAGGAAAGAAACTTCCCTTCTTCTTTTTTTTCTTTTACAGAAGAGTAAACCTTTATCAAAAGTTCAATTTATTCAAAGTTCAAGCAGCCACCAAAGAAAAATTTTAACCAACCCACTGAACCTGTCTCTACGTACCTGCAAAATGTCAACTGGGATGTGCCAGCTGCCACGAATCCCGAGTACAGTTGGACTTGGCAGATTTTTATCGGCGAAACCTGTTAGACAAAACGCACAAGTATTTCAGCGAAGCATAAAAGTCGTCACTTTCTTCCTAGGTTGCAAGCGACCCGACCGACAGCACCAATTCTGAACATCACTGTTAGAAACAACATAATGCAATACCAGAACAACACAGCATCAAGTAACACATATGGAATCCTTGAAGCTATACACGGGATAGTAAAAAACAACTTGTGAGTGTGCACATAAATGTTTCTAGCAGCAGCAGCAACATAGAGGAGAACATCATTAATAACTAATGCCACAAAAGTCCTGGTTGAGCGCATTGTGCACTCCTCCACCTGCGTTTGGTTAGCGTTTTCTGAACCTGTTTATGAATTACGAACATGCCCATACGTCGAACCAAAATCTTCGGTACAAGTGCAACAAAGTTAACTTCAATTACGTTGGCGGTTAACTTATGAGCTTTTTTTTTGTACTAGAAGTATCTGAAAAGGAAAATTTGATTTCTAGAGCCTTACATGTTGGAACAATGAGGCAATTAAGAGGCACATCACTGTGGAGTACTCTGGATTCATTTAGACCCCCCTAAAGCCTTTTTTTGTTGATTCACACGTAAATCTGCTGTTGAGCCTTTTTATAAGAGAAACCAGGAAGTAGTTAGTGCCCCTTATACAAGTTTTCTCTCTTAAGTAGGGTACCATGTTGTAGATATCTGGTCAAGCCCTATTTCGATGCAGGCATACTTGTGTCTTACACCGAACTCTCCATCACATGAGTGTCTCTAATACAAGGTTTCAACTATAACCACGCATTTTCGAATTCTTAAACCAACCAAATGCAGCTGCTGTGGCCAGGATTTGAACCCCCATCCTCGTATTTGAAGAGTATCTGAAGAGTGCAAGTCAAAGCTCGCACATGCTAGGGCAATGGCCGCGAATGAATGAAGACGGTATGCTGTATATGCTTGTAGGCTCTGCTCACCGTATTCAAAAAGAAAGCAGGTCTCTGATCCAGTTTTAAGCATATGCTGCACTTACCTTCCCAAACGACGACCGAGCGTGGTAGACGGCAACTGTGACGTCTCCGGCAGCTGCGACGTTCAGCGGAATCGTCAGCTGCTTTTCTGCATAGTTGTGATGACTGCACAGTGTTCCGGTGGAACAAGGAATGACATGAAATTCATTGAGTCAACAAAATGAATACGGTTACACGCACTTGGTTTATTTCCTTTGTGACAGCATATCATCAATGGTTAAACCAGTGTTATTACTAGGCACAGGTCATGCTAAAATACCGCATTTACTAGCATAATAGGCGCACTATTTCCCCAGAAATTTCCGGGGTCAGGTTCGGGTGCACCTATTACACAGGGTGAAATTTCCAATAATTTTATTTCTGGATACAACATATATCAATGATAATAACAATAAACAAGGACAAAAAAGAGCACTACAGCGCTTTTTTCTGTCCTTGTTTATTGCTTCCGCAGTCATGTTGTAACTACTAGGTTGCGCTGCTTGCATATACACCTATGGTACAAATGTTAAAACATTTGTACCGGAATCGAAGGCACATGCGATATCAAGATTTATTTTTTCCAAAAAAAAGTGCACATTGAAATTGAGTAAATACAATACACTGCAGGAACAGTACAAATGAAGTCAAAGAGGCTAACACCTTTTACCAGGACACTAAATTGAAAAAAATAAATAAATGTTGGATGGCAACACTGGAGTAAGATTCCTACAAGAACTTGCTGTGACATTGCAGATCTTCATGATATCTGCAAAGACCTACTTTTTTTCTTTGTTCCTAATGTTAAAAAGACCTGCATTGCTAATTAAGGAAGCCAGATATGTATCAACGCCATTTTCAGTCAGTTCTGTCGAGCAAATATTGCCAGAATTCAAACAAAAAGGAACATACAGAAATCGACAACATCACGTAGACATGTGCTTACAGTTCAGCGAGATATCTACGACATAGATGTTTACCTTCATGCTTTCACCCTATAACAAACCTGTGATGAAGAACTCAACAATTGCAGAGTTCATGAAGAATATTTCATCAACCTAAACTAATTCAGCATATCACTTTAATGTCAACCTTAAAGGGCCACTCACCAGGTTTGACAATTTTTTGCTGACAAGCGCAATGCGTAGACGAGGCGTTAGTGATCACGTCTGCCAAAATTTGCAACGCTGTGCGCCGCCGAAATGGGTCAAATTTCAAGATGAAAGCTGCTCGCCCTCCCCTCTACTTGCGCACGCGTAGAGAATGAGGGCATGATGTGGACGTAGGAATGGCCCTACGTACACAGCACTGCGGTCATGTTGGTCCTCTACGTATACGACTCTCCTCTGACGTTGTCAACAGTATACCACGTGACGTGGCAAAAATTATTTAACACAACATGCGTAGTTTATGTATTTGTTGCTTTAAAAGATGAGTAAAATTTGAAATAAATAATGAGACGCAATAAAAATTTGTGCACGTTTTTCTTAGATTTTTTCCCCGAGAAATGCTACGAGATGCGGGGCTAATGTGCCAGAGTTTCACATGCGTTCGGGTTCTCACGGTCAGCGCATTAAGCAGATGACCACCGTGGAACGCTCCTACGCGTTTGCGCACTCATTGTGCTCATCTACTCTACCGCGTCTAAGCCAGCGTTTCCAAAGAATCCTGCAGAAACAGGCAGAAGACCACAAAATAACGCTGGTCAACAAAGCAACGCCGCTCGCGTGCACGGGGGGCTGGGCTTGTTCGGGCACATCATGCGAACGTCACCTCTTGGTCGGTTGCCGGAGAGGGTGGGGAAGAGGTTTGGCTTGCGAAGGCTATGCAGAGGAGCGGCAAGGGTTTAAAACTCGTCTCCTCTCACCCTCGTTTCGCACTGCTTCAAGAAAACTGTTTTCTCCGCTCGTAAGGAACCGATTCGAGAACTTTTTGTGGCAAAACGTTCCTCATCGAACACCCAACAACTTCCACTGTCTAACTGAAATTCGGTATGGGGCCTGGTGAGTGGCCCTTTAAGAGAAAGCGAAATGAGTACTAACACAATGTTATGACACCATTCACTGAAGGCCGTGACTCATGACAGATTCCACAAGCGCAGCCCGAAAATTACCAATTAGTATAAACTTCACTCACGCAATTCGTTCGTACTCTTGACATGTACTGTGTATCCTCTCCTCTCCAATGTAGACCTCAACAAAAGGCCGACATCCATCCCTAGGGGAAAGCAAAAAAACACAATTATAACTGAAAGTTTCAATGACCAATTGATTGAGTGATTGATTGATTGATCGATCGATAGACAGAGTGACATTGTCTTAAGAACTCAAAGAAGCATGTGCAAACACCAAATCAAAGACATCGCGTCAGGAGGGTGGGGATAAGACACTTGTGCTCTGAAACTATAGGCATGGTCCACACTCCAGGGTAGTCTACACTCCAGGGAAGCCTTCACTCTAAATACAGCCTTTACGCCCTGTAGGGTCTTTTTGTTCTACAACAATAACAATCAAGCTTGAACTGATTTCCTTTCTCGAAATTCAGGGCTTGCCGCTTTTGCATCAACAATGTATTGTCACGCAGATAGCCTGCGTAACATTCTTGACCTCGAAGTAGCAATCAGATGGCAACAACGCAACAAAAGGCAAGCAAGATAGGTGATGACTAATGCCACAGATGCCACAAATATGTCCTCTCTGCTTTGAATGCAGACCACAAAATCATCAATGGCGTCCTATTCGGCATAGTTGTTCCCAAAGAAGATCAAGCTCACCTAAGCTTCGTGAACATAGGCACAGGCTTCAGTGTAAGTGCCACAATCTGCAGCGGGAACCGGTGCGGCAAAACTTGGTGGTTCTGGGAGACCATCTGCGACATGTACTGGATATACCTGCGAGAAGGACCAATGTTTCAAGCCAAGATCGATTCAGACGCGAGCCGACGCCTATCAAAGGTGGGAAGACCACTAGCGAATTTCGTGGCCGAGTCGATATCTATACTCGACGACAACTTATCTCGACATTGGAGAGAAAGCTACAGAGACAGGGCTTCCACACATACGTGTTGCCCCGCCGCAAGTAGTACGGCAGCTTGCGGCTAGTTTCGGTTTTCCTCGCTCACATCAATAACACATTCAGACAAACATATACGTGAAAATCATGAATGGGTGCAACATTTGGATTGTTCAATGTCCTTTAATGAGTACATTTTTCTCGAAGAACTAAATGCGATTGAAGCTGCAAACTGGCATCAGGAATGCCATTTTTCCTTGAAAAAGGGTAGACTGAAACAGTGTTGCTGTCTTAGGAAAAAAAAAAAGGAAAGCATTCTTGCAAGAAAAACAATAACTGTATTTTACCTACAATTCCTCGCAAATGTTTCAGTTTCATATAAAATGAAGCAGTATTTCAGCAAGGCAAATGAAAAAATCACGGGTAAATTTAAGTACTATTCTTTTTGACACGGCAACAGGCATGCGCTTTGCTTCTGTAGCTCCCACATTGCTGTCACGAAAAGTTGTCGCCGAGTATACAGCGGAACGCGATACGCCCGAGATCCTACGCCTAGTACTGTCAAGTTATCAAGACAAGAACGTGCATAGAATGCAGCAGTTTTGCTTAGGCTCCCGCAAATTTTTGTCTCATATGTTCACTTTCTCTTAATATGTTTTCATCCTTTACACCCAGGAAAGGATAGCAAACCAGACTCGCACCCGGTTAACCTTCCAGCCTTTCCTTCCTCTCTCTCCCATTTTTTTCCCACCTCATCCTCAAGTGGATTGCAGGCCACATGCTGTGAAACAAAGCACATCTGGATTCCCTATTTTGCATGTCTTGTCAATCTGCACAAGATTCCGCAAGACTGCTGCATGGTAGACACCGTCACAATCCGTATGAGATGCAGCGCACTGGGCCCTCATAAATGTGAGTGCTCAATAGCGATTCCATGGCAACTTGTAGGAAACCACACTGCCCCACAAATGCAAGCTGCTATTGCCCCTCATATGCACGTGGCTACACTGCCGCCTCAGCCTTCCAACAATAGTAGAAACTCGACTACATGATTTAGAAGGAACCGCACAACACCATTGTATAAACCAGACATTGCATAAGCTGAAGATTGAATATTCAGGCAGAGACACTCAGTCCTGCTAAACAAAATGAACACTGAGAGCCCGGATGATCATATGACATGAATGTGCACTTCTCTAACAAATAAGATTAGGTTATATTAGGTTACTTCATGCATATTAACTTAGACTAGGTTACCGTATTTACTCGCGTAATTCTCGCACTCGCATAATTCTCGCACTCCCACATCGCCAAACAAAAATACGTTTTCTTTTTTTTTTCTCGAGTGATTATCGCACCCCCGAAAACTGCCACAATAATGTCGTCTGGTCGTTCCAGCCGCTGATGATGATAGCGTGCGCTGTCTGGCACCATCTCTTAAACATCAAGAATACTATTATTGCACGAAGACTCAATCCAATCCAAGCCAAGCCAAAGTGGCAAGTGCGCGTTGCGGCATGTTTTGTATGTTGTATCGGTAACCTTGTCACGTTATTTATTCATTTATCAACACTGTTGGCCGAAGGCCGTTACAGGGTGGTTGTGTTACAAGATATGCAATAAAAAAGGGAAAAAATGCAGTCGCAATCGAGGATAGACTAAAGGTACAGTACACGCAAGACACAATACAGTAGTACACGTTATACAATGATAGAAAAGGTACAATGCAAGCAAGAAGAGCTATAGACACTAGTAAATCCTGGTACCATCAATTTTTCCGCAGTCGCTGGAGGAATCGGCTTTTATACAACAAGAAACGACAGTTTTCTTTAGGTAAATAGAATCTGCAATGTATAGGCTAGGTGTCTGCAGGTTATGGGGCAATATCGAAGCTACATGGCTGCTTTCAAGTTGAAAGTGATAGATCATGCACTAAACAATGGCAACAGGGCTGCCGGTAGGGCCTTCGGGGTCTAAGCTTTTTGTGCTCGCTACTGGTGATGGCCGTTGAAAGCCACCAAGAAGCATTGCGCCTGCCGTGTGCTTAAAACTGGGATTGATGGTAAACCTTGTTTCTTTAGAAGGAAACTGCGGACGATTCTGTTAAATAGCCATCAGCACAATACTCGCATTCTATGCTTATCTTTGAGGGCTCCTGTTGAGCGACAAACGCTACGCCCACAAGCTTTGCATATGGTATTTTGATTCTCGACTATTTGCTTGCACTTTTTGTGTCTCCAATAGGTCTTGCCTTGTGTAGAACCTGCGCTTTTATTGCTGAGGTAAGTCTTAATTGGTACTTCTCAAAGATTGTTGTTTGTTGCTGGTGTAAGAAACCCGATTTGCGGCCACTTCGTTTTCTTTTTCGCACTGTACGTTTTCGTGGAAAGTCACCGCGTGATTCTCGCACCCCCCAACTTTGCATCGGTTTTCCGCCAAAAAAAAGTGCGACGATTATGCGAGTAAATACAGTATTTTAAAAGCAACAGTCCGGCATTTAACTGAAGATGTAACACAGTCCTTAGTCAAGTGTTAAAAATACTGAATTTAAATACTGAGGTACATTCCTTTCGATAAAAATGGTCAAATGGCTTGCACGTTAGCATCTAGTGTGAAACTGAAACCATAATAGTGACAGCTTTCTGCCCATGGTGTGAAATACAGTGTCACCACCATCACAAATTACCACAGAGTGCATATTGTTACAAGTTCGTGAAGATTTAGTTCATGCTAAATGCAACCTGCGTGGTTTGAATGAGGCGCTGTTGGTGGAGTCGCACTTTATTAAATGTCATGGGATAGGAGAAAGTTAAACAGCATTCTGAAGATAGCTGCAACCCTCGTTATCAGATGCTCAAGGCCTGTGACCATGAGCTGTGCAATGGAAGACCTCCTACTACAATCAAGGTCCGATTTCCCGGACCCTCAAGGGACCGCCAAAACGTCCGGAAAATCGGGCAGCCCAGAAAAACAAATGCAAGCAAAAAGACACTTTTTAATAGGTATTTTTCGCTGATGGAGAGGGTTTTGCTAGTAGTGCAGGGTTTTCACTGCAGCGAATGCATCGTTTAGGTGGCTCTGGAAAGAGCCGAAAGAAAAAAAATCCGATGTGGCTGGCACTACCACACTTTTGTGTAAACACAAAAAAAGAAAGTCGCATAGTTTCTTTTGCATGACCTTCCACTTGCCCGCGATGATGTCACCCTCAATTTCATTTAACGTCATGCTGTCGCTGTGCGCCGATGAGTGTCAGTGCTCGCGTCAATTCCGCACACAGCTCGGGGTCTTTGTCAGCGTCGGCGTGCCTACAAGGGTTATGCCAGCTAGAATCGAAACACCGGCAACGAGCAGATCATCGAAGGCAACGTCTGTTTGCGTGTGGAAGTTCGTCGCACACACTGACCACTCCGGGCGCGATGGCTGTCTCGATGTCCAGTATGAAACTCGTATGGCGAAAACAGTCGCGGAGGGTCTGTTGCGTGAGCGCCTTCCACGAGTCTACAGGCATGCCAACGCCAGACCGCAGGTAAACAGCGTAGCTTTTACCGCTGTTAGGGCACAGGCTGCACAGCACCATGCGACCTAAGCTATAGAGGCATTTTCAGTTTCGAAGGTAGGAAAAATGGCTGGCGTCGATACTGACTTCAAGTCTGCGGTTAGCGGTAAAAGTCCGGAAAATCAAATGGCGAAAGCTATAAACATCCGGAATTTTTTCAGACTTTTTAATACATTGACTCTATGGATAACTTGACGGTGCCACTGATGAGTCCAGGAAATCAGGCATGTCCGGAATTTCGGGCGTCCGAGAAATCGGACGTCAGCTGAACATATAGTCCACAAAAACTTTCTAGGGGCCTAAATAAGATAAAGCTTTTATAAACTGGTAACTAGTTTGATGAATACACTCTGTTTAAGCCAAGCTTGTTTATGTAACAGCCCCTCAATGCTCATACAAATGAAGCACACTAAAAAATGAAAATGCACTGCCAGGAAAGTAAATTCCCCTACTATGATGGCTAAGTCCACTTGTGTCTCTTCTATTCATTGACACAAAGGCATGCCAGGTTTATATTAAAAAGCTGTATCATTACGTGCAGTTGTACTTTTATTCTGAAACCAGTTCAGACCACGAAAATTGTGCACGCATTAGGTTAGAGTAAATACGATGTCTTGGGGTGGGGGGGGGGGGGGAGTGCTTTGATGGCACTGACATTGTATGAGGTAGGGATGGCATAACAGCGGGCCGTATAAGCGAGGTTTGGGTACATTACTGCTATGGGGGTTTCACCGAGGCCAAACCAATTTGTCGTAAAATGTATGCCATGCACAGAACACTGCCTGACCTTATCTGGGAAGGGCAGAGGGTGACGGGACACCGGCGAACAGCAAACATCTGCAGGGCTTCTTCGGGGCTGTCGAACAGGTGGCAGAACACCAGGAACGCCGACACCAACACTGCTGATGAACACTTGCCATCCTGCAGTGAAAGGCCCACAAAGAAAATGCAAACACAATTGTTGGGGTGTTACATCCCGAAGCCACGATATGATTATGAGGACACTGCAATGAAGGGCTCTGAAAATTTTTAAAATTTCATGTTTTTTAACTAAGTACACTTAAATCTAAGCCCATTGTCATGAGTAAGAGGGCGTGAGGCGGGTGCCAAGCACTGGAATGTGACATCGATGCGCGAGACCCCGATGGTGCGCATACGCGCCACATTCACGTTCAAGATTGGACACAGAGGCTCGTGGCACGCAACCAGAGCCGTAATGAAAAGTCCCAGAGGATGAGCCGTCACTGCGCTGTGGAGCTTTAATCTGCAAAGATCAAGAAGGGTAGCATCGCCACAGCGACAAAAGCAGTAGCTGCCCAGTTCTGAAAACTGTCAATCCCGTAAGACTTGAGTGAGACTGCTCGGACTTGCCACACCCTTTCACAGCAGCTCCTGCGGCAACTACAGCTCTTCCACTTCGTTCCGGAATGGTTGTACCCACACCAGTCAATGGAGTGAGTCATCAGTGAGGCCATTGACAAGTTAGGTTTAACAATGCGGGCCGAAGGTGATGAAATAAGACCGGAACACCGGCAATGAAGACAAGCGGTTCGTTGGGCGGAAACAACCGACGTTGACTGTGGGAACTTGCAGAGGACGTCAATGACAGTTTCGAGAAACCGTCGACACGGCAAGAATGCAGTCGAGGCGACGACGAGACGACCTGTAAGGTAGTTAGATTACCAAGGCGCCATATTGGACAGGTAGCAGCAGCTAAGGCTAGAGAAGGGTATCAACTGGTCTACAGTCGGCTTTGGTTTGAACATGTACGTTTGGTTACCGAGCTAATTTTGTGCGTCTTGCTTTCTATTTTTTAGGGGTGATAAAGAGTGTTAGATTAATGTACATTTGGTTGTTCAGTTAATTTTGAGTGTCTGCATGTGTTTCTTTTTTGCTTTCTATTTTTTAGGGGTGATAAAAAGTGTTTGTATGGCCACCCCAGTCTCTCCCGATTGAATCCTTTGCAAGCGCTCCCGAGATAAATCGTGACACCCACAGACCTACAGCATTTCGTCTACATCAAATTGCGGCCCTCACAGCCAGGATCAGTCCCATGGCCATCAGGTAGATTGGGACAAAGCTAGCAGGTATTGGTTTTTAATCTACTTTAGTTCCTTTCAATTTAGGTCATATATTATACTACCGTTAAAAACATACGAGCAATGTCCTCTATACCTTCCTTGGCTTCACTGTCTATCCATTCCACTAACTTGTGTCTAACAAAAGAAACACGTCCCCAATCGATTTCCCGATACATCCCCCAATCAATCCCCCCGTTTTATTCACATACTTTCTATTGCACTATGAAAAAATATATATACGTGCGACTCACGAGGCAGTGGACGACGCACACATTGCGGGCGTCCTGGTTCAGGTAGGCCAGCATGGAGCGGCATAGGTTGAACAGGGTGTGCAGGGGCGGGGCCTTCCGGGCCAGCCAACCCCGCTCGGTGACCTTGCAGTCGAACTTGGCCGACGAATAGGCACGGCCCGACACGTTGTAGATGGCATAGTGGCCGCGGTGTCGGGCGTCCAGCAACGTTCGCACGTCCTCCACATGGTTGCGATATGCAGACTCCAGCCCTTCCGCGGGATACGACATAACTGCCCGCCATCGCGATAAAAAGAAAGGGACAACAAAATGTGAGGAGCCCTTTTCCCGATAGGGAAAATGGGAGCAAGCGAAGCTTGGTATGTGAGTGTCTGACCTATTTTTCTTTCATTCTCTCTATCACCTTGCACCATGCTCCCTCTAAACTTTTTCCTTCCTCCAAGCCAAGAATTGGCCCTTCACACACAGGCTTAGCATCACACCACTTTTGTTGCTACAGGCAACAACAATGGTAATGCGTGAAAATTAAATGTAACAGTGAAAAGCGACAATGAAATGCAGGAACATAGCATGGCAAGTAACCTATTTAAAGATCAGATTGCCATATCAGAAACGGCTGATCACCAAAAAACCTACGATCAAGAGAGCATCAGTTGTTGGAAAATGGTGCACAAAAATACACATGTCTCACCCTCGAGGCCCTATTTGCGTACACCTGCACTTCCGTACACTCATCAGCACCGGTTTTTTGCTAAATATGCCATCACCACCGTAATCTGCAACTCACAGAAGCTTTGCTTAAAGACTGTAGTCTGACTGACAGCTTGGTGGTTCGCAATTAGGTGAAGATATCGTACTCAAATTACATGTTACCCGAAGTGTCTTACTGAAAAGAGGGTCCAAGGCAAGTGATGCAATTTACTAAGATAAGATAACGAGCAAGAAAACGGTTGCCAAGGGAGGAGAATCCAAATGATGATGGTTAATTAATAACACTCAGAGAAAATGAAAATCAACTGGATGAATGGCTGCTCGATTGACTTATTTTTCAACTAAGTGAAAAAATTGCAGGAAAACATGTTTACCAGAACATTTACTGAAAAAAGTGGCATTGGGACAGGTCATGCAATCGAGAGATGAGGCAACTGGGAAAGATTTGTTGAGAAAGCGACATTCTAAAGGTAACAGTGAACATCGTATAGGAAAGGTCATCACAAGTAATCAAATACTCACCTGCAATTCTACTTGTGATGTAGTTGAAATCCAAGTCAGCCTTGCCCATTGTCCTGAAAGAGTAAAACAAATATCGCAAAAAAGGAAAATCAATCAAAGGCTCGCAACTTTTTTTAGACACAACCTAATGAAATGAACAGATAATGTAGACCATGCCTCACTGTAGGTCTCTGGCAAATTTGGCCATCTGTTTTTTTTTTATTTTTTTTACTTAAGCTGAGCCACTAGACGGGCCTAAGGTGTTTTACCTTAATCAGAATGCGACCTCCGCGGCTGAGATCGAAACCACGAGCCTTGCGTTAGCAATCGAGCACCATGATCACTATGCCATCGAGGCAGACGTCTTTCTTATTGTATTAACTGTTTCTGCACAATCTACTCATCGCACAACTTCACCTATTTTCTTGTATTTTTTTTTTACCTACATAGCGTGTCCACTCTACAAAGTGGTGCTCAGTTTTGTCTTCACGCCTCTTATTTGTATAGATGCTTCGCGAGTACAGTTTGCATTCGCACTTCTGTATGATTCTTCATTGCTTATAGTATTAATAAAGAAAAATGCCCCGCCATGATGGTCTAATGGCTAAGGTACTCGGCTGCTGACCTGCAGGTCGCGGGATCGAATCCCAGCTGTGGCGGCTTGATTTACTAGACGCGATTTTCTACAGATACTACGTCCAGCCATCTAGCCCCGCTGCGGTGGTCTGGGGGCTAAGGTACTCTGCTGCTGACCCGAAGGTCGCAGGATCGAATAGCGGCTGCTGCAGCTGCATTTTCGATGAAGACGAAAATGCTGTAGGCTTGTGTGCGCGTATTGGGGTGCACGTTAAAGAACCCCAGGTGGTGGAAATTTCCGGAGCCCTCCACTACGGCGCCACGCATAATAATATGGTGGTTTTGGGACGTTAAACACCACATTTCAATTAAATAATTGATACAAAATTAATTGTAAAGCATCGTCAAAGAGTTTAACGACTGTGTGTGAGTGTGTGTGTAAATGCCTGCCTTTCCCATTATAAATATCTAGTGTAAAAATAATTTATTTTTGCACATTATTGCAGCACTGAGAGCAGCATGCAGAAATGATTCGCTCTAAGGCATAGTTCACTGAGGACTGCCACTAGTCGCTACGCACTGGTAGCAAATAATGAAAAAAAAAATTGTGCAACGATTTGTGACAGCTTGGACGAAAACAAAACTTGAAGTACATAAACAGTGAAAAAAAAGTGAACTGCACGCATTTTTACAAGGGGCATCATACCAGCAAAGAAGGCGTACCTAAACCAAGGAAAGGAATGTAGAAAGAAAGAACCTGCGTGGCGTCATAGTGGTTATGGCACTCAAAAGGTCGGGAATCGAATTCTGGCAGCAGTAACCCCCCTACGATAGAGATTAAATTCCGGAGTTCTTAAACTTAGGTGCATGTTACATAACAACACCTGTTCACAAAATTTCCACCACGTCTCTCATAATCGTAATTTGCGAGAATTTATGTTCCGGTAGTTCCAATATGTAAATTCCCGCAAATTATGACTGAGAAAACTAGACGGGTATTACCTACAGAGAAACACGTATAATGTATATTTCATTATACAATTGACATCACAGATAGCGAAAGCAAAAATGAAAGGCGGATACAAGACTAACCAAGAGCAGCAAAGAATGTTTACGGACTAAAATACGCAATTCATGCACATGACAATCAAGCGTACAGCCGTCAGCGTATCCGTTTCTTACGCTAAGTTGATGCCGGCGTAAGTTATGCATGCATGTCCTGTCGAAATACTGGCTAGAAACTTATGCTGCGAATGGATTATCTGTTCGTTGGATGCCACCTATCACGTTTGATTTTCGCTGTTGAAAACGCCCTCTTTTATGTTCTCTTGGAGAACGATACAGCTTCCACAGTTTCTGGAATGATTAGTGCCCTGCAGCCACCCGACACCCGCCATGGTGATGGTAGCATGCGCATTAAACTGGAGAAAAACAAGTGCCGGCACAATTATCCGGGCGCAGTGAACACACACAAGTGCGTAGGCGGAGGAATCAAAATGGCGGCCACGCTGCGGCCAAGGCCGCAGAGGTGGCACCTGTTCTTTCAAAGGGTAACACCACTCTTAGCGGGGACGCGTGTATCGAGGCACTCTGGCTTAAGTAAAAAACCAGACTTGTACATGTTACAGAAACTGGAACGGAAGCATTGTGCATCACTCACTGTTGGGCCATGTGCATGACCTTGGTGGAGGTGTCGCCGAGACGCTTGAGCAGGCTACCAGCGCCGCCACGCAGCGACGTCAAGAGGCCTGCGCTGCCCCAGCCTCCTTCAGCTGCCGAGGGAGGAGGAGCAGCTGCGGAAGGCGTCGTGTTCCCGTGGACGTTGAGGCTCGGTGGAGGTGGCCGACTGGGCGGTGCTGTGAACAGCAAAGCAAAATAGAGGTCGTGGTAAGCCACTAAAACCATGATAAACTGCAAGGGTGGGCAAGTAGGGGTGGCAGTGCCAGGTGCTACTATGTAGAGCCAAGGAAGAAAGTGACAAATAACATAGAGAAAGATGACTCAGTCGGGTTCCACCACCCCATTTGGCGCGCATCAAAAACAAAGATAACCGAGAGCACGTAGCAATATGAGAGCCTCAATGGATTGGGACATAATGAACACAATACTGCTGTTACAACAGTCAATAGCTCTACATGGGCCAACACAAGCTAACGTTAGTGACCACTTAGCCAATATCCAGCCAGCACTAAGCAAAAAGGCATGCCACTCACTGGAAGTCGAGTTGGCCACGCTGTGTATAGCTGCACTGGTGTCGCCCTGGGATAGGCCTCCCGTCACCGGGCTGGATCCGCGCAGCCCTGGCGAGTTCTCCAGCTGCACGTTCTTGGCCTCGCCCATCTCCTGCAGTCGCTCAGCCACGTCGATAATCGTGGGCCGTGATGTTGGGTTCACCTGAAGCATGCCCCCTGCAGGCACAGCACAAGTGATGTTCACGAAAGAGCATGTGCATAGATACAGTAGACCACAAAACAAATTAATCAATTTCTCGGGTTTTGAGCAACAATTTCATGATATAATTCGAACTCGAAGGGGCCCAAAAATTTGTTCGAATTAAAAGAAGTTCGAATTAATGAAAGCTAAATAAACGGAGCGCTCTCCATGCAGTGGCGCATGTGCATTGAGCTAACACACGAGGGGGAAGTTTTAGAAGACTTACATTTATTCACAAATCACAGGACATCTGTTATTAATTGAAGTAATCGGTGATGCGCGTCTGCACATGTTTGCCTTGCAGCGAGTCGATCAATTTTGCAAGCAGTTTGCAAAGCATTTCTACTTCGGCTTCAGCATCCTCCTGGCAAGAGAAGTTGCGCGCGATAATGTCCAGCGCCTACACTTTCTAAAGACGACGATAACAATGACTGCTGCGTAGCAGAGCCTCTTGCTCTCCGCTACGCAGCCGCAGCATGGCCAGCATGTGACGAGAAATGAGGAGCGTCTCCACGCGGAGAGAATTTCAGAGAAAACCAGCACTCCACGGCAGCTTTTTTTTTTTTTTTTTTTTTTTTTTTTTTTTTTTTTTTTTGCTCTCTTCGCGCGTGTCGTTGAAAGTAGGAGGATTACGTGGCAGGGAAGGGAAAGGGAAAAGCGTGGCACTGGCACGTCAAAGACACCCCCCCTCAAGGCGCAGACCTGTGCTCCCGCAAGGGACAAGGGCTGCAGAAAATAGTGCCTTTTTCCTTTCCTTCAACCACACAATCATTCAACACAGCGATGGCTTTCTTTTTTTTTCCTCTCTCTCTTCGCGCGCAGCATTGGAAGAAGGAGGGTCTTTACGTGGCAGGGACTGAAAAGGGAGAAACGTAACACGGGCGCGTCGCAGATCGGCATTTGAGATTTGAAGAGCAAACGTTCCAACGCAGCCTTTTCTTTCCTTTTCATTTCCTTCGCGGGCAGCGTTGAGGTGTCGCAGGTGCCACGGCGGGATTGGGCAGGGTGCTGAGAGCATTTTTGGAGCGCAGTACGTTCGAATTAACCATCGTAAGTGATTGGGCGTTCAAATTACCGGGCGTTTTCGCCCATTGGAATACACATAGCTTTGACGGCATTTCATCGCAACTTCGAATTAACAGGAAGTTCGAATTAAGCATGTTCGAAATAATGAGATTCGACTGTACAACTATGACAAAGCTAATCAAGCCAACCAACAACTAAAAAAAAAAAATCATGGAGGACATTATGTCTTGTTTTTCAAAGGGGCCCTGCAACACTTTTTGAGCATGGTCAGAAAATGCTGCCGATCGGTAGTACAGGCTCCCGAGAACACGAAAGCCAAATATTGTAGTGCAGCAGGTGGCGTGGAATTCACAATAAGTTATCAAAATCATCTAAAAATTGCTTTCTCTTCTCTCGACAAATGACAGAAGATGCTCAAAAGTCTCTCATAGAAAGCCTTATATCTGCCATTGGCCAATTCAAACATGCTCGGCCATTACAGGAATCGCCACGGGTGGCCGCAACTTGTCCACGCGTACGCGCCCGATCACACTGAAACATCTGTTTATTCAAAAAAAAAAAAATCTGCTCAAGGTCCTGACGCGTGCGCGACGTATTTTCTTCGCCCCTACCATCCCTGCCTACTTAGCTTTCAGCCCTTTCGTCAGTACCAGAGAAGAGAAAATGCGATTGCAGCATGTGACAAATCTCTGCTCATAAGGGACAGATTTTTAAAATTTTCGCTGCGTTGAATTCGAGAGGCAATGAGCCCTTTTAGTAAATCCATTCCATGGTTACTTGAAAAAGTGTTTCGGGGTCTCTTTAACTATAGTGTAATCATTTGCCTTAAATGGAAGAAAATTGAAGTGAACAAAAAATTGCCTTTTCTGCTGGTGGGATTTAAACAGATTCTTCTAATATGTAATTAGGTTTGAAGACTGGCGTTTATGAGTTCTGAATTTAAAGGTTGTGGATTCAGATTCCACCAATGGCAAGAGTGATTTTTTTTTTCACTTTTATTCCTTTCAATTTAGGTCCATATCATCGGACTACAATTAAAAAGAGCTAGAATGGAGTCCCCCGCCCACTTCCCGCGCGATCTTGGCCTACACGGTAACTGTCTGCTGGTTTCATTGGCTGCATCTAACAAAGAAACAGGCCACTCGAACGACTGCCCTTCTTTCAATACAATGCCGAAGCATGCCATTGTCAAAATGCAATCACTGCGACCGAGATTGAAACTGCGACCTTTAGTCAGCAGCCGAGCACAGTAACCAGTGTAGCACCAAGGCAGACCGGCCACAAAAATGCAGCCAGCAATTGGCTGTCCATCAAAAATTGGGGCTCACCAAGACGCACTAAGACATGTTCTTCTATATAAAAAAGCTGTTCTTTCAAATTTCGAAGAGCTCCTATACTGAAGTACTCAAAAAATATAGAGATATCATCCGCAGTGAAGCCTCGTACAGTTCAAAGAACTAAGCTCCCTGATATGCCAGACATAGGCAAGGCTACCACCTATTTAATACACCCTACCTCTTTACATAGAACACCACCAAGACATACATGTGCCCTGTATTCCTTGTGCAAACGCACAGAGGAGTGAATTGAAGAACGCCATGTCAGCTAGCCCAAATCGAAGCAATACTGTACCTGGAAATGTAGAAGCATTAGACTGTGCTCGCAGAGAACGTCTGTTCCCCTAAAAGGGGCCCTGCAACACTTTTTCAGCATGGTCAGAAAACTCTGCCGATGGGTGGTCTAGAATCCTGAGAACACCTATGCCACACGCTATAGAGCAGTTCACAGTCCAGAATTTGCAATGTAGTCTGCAAGTCAGCTAGAAATTGCTCCCTGTTCTGTCGACAATAGACGCCACATAACACACATGGTCATGCTAAAAACACAAAGCCCACGACCATTGGCCAATTTCAGCATCACTAGCTACATAGCGGTCACCGTGAAATGCCGCCATGAGCTCACGCTCACACTGAAAGGAAGCTGTCTGTTCGATGAAGAAAAAAGTGCTCAAGGTCATGATGCGAGCTGGCGAAGGGACACATGATCTTGCCCTATTCTCATTGCCCCTCCGTAACTTCCAGTGCACTCACTGGCATAAAAGGCGAGCGAAAGCACTTGATGTGTGCGACAGATTCCGGTAACTCAGCTCGTGCTTGAAGGATTCTAAAAATTTCTGCGGCAGTTGATTCACGAGAGAATGAGCTCTTTTAATGATACCCTTCAACGATTACTTTGAAAAGAGTTGCAGCACCCATATGGCCTCTATATGACTATCTGTACATGGACAACACTGCCAATCTGCACTCAAGGCTCCCGTCAACGCACATGTCAAATCATTGCTGTACACGCAGCAGGGAATTTACAATTTCGTAGCAAGAGTGCAACAGTAAGGCCAACCTAATATATCCCACACTCATCTGTATATGTGCAGTGCTGAGGTTGCGGAATAAAATGCCAAATGAAAAAAAACTGATCCCAAGAGACATCAATCCGAAATGCTCTTTAGAGCAAACATAATGAAACAAACTTTCTTACTTTAGTCATCTCATGCAAGCTACAGTTTCAATGGAGCGAAAATCAATGCTAGTCTAAGTGGAAGGTTAGAGGAGCCCTGCAACACTCTTCCAGCACGGTTAGAAAACGCTGTTGATTGGCCATCAAGGCTCCTGAGCACATGCTAGCCGAACATTATTGCGCAGCACACGGTCTGAAATTCACAATAAATTTTCAATGTCCGCTACAAATCGCTCCCCCTTCTTTCTACAAATGATGCCATATACTCAAATGACCGTGCCATATTCGAAAATTCACGCCAAAGCTGTGTAGTTACTATGGCCCCCGCAAGAGGCTGCTTCGCGTCTGAACGCACACTTGCTCACGCCCACATTGGAAGTTAGCCACACGTTAAAAGAAAAAAGAAGTGCTCAATGTCATAACTTGAAAGCAACATATACCACTGTCACGCTGGTGGTGTTAATGTCATTAGGTTCTAATGTCATTCAGAGCAACGAATGCCATTCGATCCGTGGCGGTGCTACACAGGAACGCAGGAGTGCTACACAGAAAAGCAGCTTCTCACCGATAGCACACTCGCTAGCACGAAAGGAGAGAGAGCACCAAAAAAAAGCATCTGACAAATCCCCGTAACTCCACTTGTACTTGGTGGATTAAATGAACTGTATCAAACAGATCCCACTGACAGTTATACACAAAGAATGCAACCAGAAGTCATAAGTAACTGAAGGATATATTTACAACAGCTGATAACTGATAACGATAACTGATGACTCTACGACCAAGCTGTTAGTGCTTTACAAAAAAAAAAAAAAGGGAACATCCCACCTGACATAACCTTACAGGCCCTTACAGGAAAGCCTTCGGCAAGGCTCCAACCGGCACAGCACGAGCACCACGGCAGCATGCTAGCAATTTCTTCGAGAATCCTATCGATCATGAGGATGCGTAGGCAGAGATTTTTTTACAAGACCGGGCACTGCAGAAGAAGAGAGGCCAAGAACACACAGCACGGCACAGCACACGTCTCCCGCACACGACTGCTTGCCAGTAGACAATGACAAAAACCACTCACAGCCAAAAGGCGGCAACGGTAAAAGTTGAGGAAGGCCGGAAGTGCGACAGAGGCACCCCTACAACCAGCCGTAAGGCTTCGTTTCCACTTTTTCCGTGCATTACTGTGAGCACCGACCTGGAGACAAACCAGCGCAATGGTCGAGGCATTCGGTCACATGCAGGTATTCCGTCCCACCTCATGTTTGAATTAACTGGTACGAGAAGTTAAAAAAAGTAGCCAGCCATCAAAGGAAGGAAGCTGGGATAAAAATGATTGAGAAAAAAGTTTGTATGAAAAGCCAAGAAATCCAGCAGTCCCATCCAGCACCTTTCAACTAAAAGTCGCTACAGCTTTGGCAATGCTGCACAGAATTGTTGAAGAGTAGTTCCGATGGCACTCGGCATGTGACAGACGGGCACTGACACTTGAAGAGAAGCAAAAAAAAGAGAACACGAGGACACAAAGTAGTGACAAGAAAAATTAACAAACAAAAGCGAAAGCACAATGCCCTATAAACTCGCACGCACTCTGTGACAGCACTATAAACTGCAGCTGAGGAACAAGGCTGCGGGAAAAAAACGTAGCAACGGCAGCAAAACATACAGACTCCACCACAAGATGCCGTGACCAACACATGATGCAAGAGAATGCTGAAAGGATAAAAGACAACTGTGACAACTCTATACGCACACAGTAACAGCCTATGGTATGCGACAGCTGACAGCTGAATGCTGCTGCCTAGCTGGCTGCTCCAAGAGCTGCCAAAATACAAGGTTAGAAGTGCGTCACAATGACGTCGATGCTGCGTAAGTCTCACTAAAGGAAGTTTTTAAAAAGTCGCAGAAGAGTGCAAAAGGGTTTGCGAACACTCACGTATGAGATCGTGGAGGATGTCGAAGCTCGTGTTCCCAGGGGGAATGCTGTAGTTGGCGTTGAGGATGCGGAGCTTGGACGAGTCCGGGAACGGGTGCTCGCGAAAGCACAGGAGGAACAGGACGCACCCCAGAGCCTGTGTCGATGATGGTACGCACGCAAAGAGAGCATGTCAGCAAACACGAACACCTTTCATTAGCAAAAGGTACAGTCGTCGTCATTCTCAGCCTGTTTTTGTCCACTGCACAACAAAGGCCTCTCTCTACCAATGATCTCCTGTTTACCCCATATTGTGAGAGCCAATTTAATTTCATCCTCACTAAGTTCTCAACATCGTTGCTCCATCCAACTTCCTGTTTTCCTCGACTGAGTTTTTCTCATTCCTTGATAACCATTCTGTTTCTCTATAACAGGTGCAGTACACTGAACAAAAACTGGTTTCAACAGCTTGAGAATAGCTCCCTAGCACCTCGCGATATTGTCTATTGTTAGAGTAAATGCGCTGTACCTACAGTGAAACTACGTTAATATGCACCTGCCAGGTTCGTCGGCCTAACTACGCACTAAGCGTACTTCGCATTAACCACCAGCAACAAATTTGCATCTCCTGACACGCGCCATCACCGCCAACAAAGGAATAAATTCAGTGCCACAGGAAATGCTGCCTAAGGTGCCCACCGCCAAGCCATTTCTTATTGCCAAAGCGCCAAAAAGATTCTGTCACTCTTGCAGAACTGTCCAATAGCACCCAGTGGTGACGCCAATATACATTTCGAAACTACTGCGGGGTCTGGGTTACGCAGCGTGGTACAGCTACAGAACGGACATGATCGGCTGTCCGCGACACACGAATTACGCAGTTTGCTTCTAAATAAAGACTGACACAGTACAGTTTTTTTTTAGGCGGTATGGTCACAGAGAGCCAAATCGCGTACTGCATAGGTAGTTGCGTGCAGCGCTTCGCCTACTCAACACACAACGATACTGCCAATCCGCTTGCATTAGAGAGAGCCCACTCCGCTTCAGGCCATGCACAGATGCAGCGAGTAGCCTGCTAAGATAATGCAGCGCAACGAACTTTCTGCAAGCATTGCACTCCTCACGATGCACTAGCAGTCCTGACAGCAGACGGAGGAGCGTTTTGGCTGTCACTGAATAAACATGTGCAACAGCGCCACGCTTGCTGTACAGTGTGCATACAGCAAGGTTTCTCGGTGCCCACGGCCCGCAATGCTGAACTCCGCAACAGCCAGAAGCTTGGGTTTCTGCAAAGTGTTGTGTTCTTGAACATGATTGATTGATTGATTGATTGATTGATTGATTGATTGATTGATTGATTGATTGATTGATTGATTCATATGTGGGGTTTAACGTCCCAAAACCACCATATGATTATGAGAGATGCCGTAGTGGAGGGCTCCAGAAATTGGGACCACCTAGGGTTCTTTAACGTGCACCCAAATCTGAGTACAGGGGCCTACAACATTTCCGTCTCTATCGTAAATGCAGCCGCCGCAGCCGGAATTTGATCCCATGACCTGCAGGTCAGCAGCCGAGTACCTTAGCCACTAAACCACCGCGGCGGAGCAGTGCGTGCTTGAACACAGGATCGCTCGACGTGGCAGCAGAGATTGGCGACCCAGCGCATTCAGGTAGTCGCCTACTAAAAGCGTGCAATAGGCTTAAAATAGCGTTACACCACATGCGTGTGCCCGAGCAGATAGGCGAGAATCATTTAATCGATAAGGCTTCTGTCGGCGATAAGCCATACCGGCACATTTGTCAGTGGTCGCCACCTCGCATCCGTTTTTTCCCTATGATTACCCACATAGTCTTCGCCACAATCACGTGGAAGTAGGAATAACTGATCGGCTGATCTTCACACTTATCAACATGATGGGAAAATGTTCATGGCACATTGTAGCACCTGCAAGTTCAGCGGCGCAGTAAAATTTTTTGGTGCAAAATTTTATCGTGGTATGCAGTTAGTATGCACTAACCAGTAAGCATAAGACGAACACTCTGGCTTAAGCGGTCCTCGAATGCATTATTAGTCTGTACGAGACTCTGTCGGTTATTCATTGCAACTACATTTTAACCGTTAATACACTTACTTAAAGCCTGTACACACTAACAAAGTTTGACTGTACTGTGCCAACAATTATCATCAAACTGTAGCTAAGTCCAGCAAAACTAATCTTTGTTTTAGATTACTTTACGTCCAGTTCATTAATAGTGACTAGTTCTTTCCGATAAAGGTAATTGAAAAACATTTATTTATTTAAACTGACTTTGACCAACAGCAAATCTTAGTACTGCATACGCTCATAATAGTGTTGTATACATAAGAGCTAAACGTATTGCACGCTGTGCATGCAGCGAACTTCTGCTCATGCACACTTTGCAAGACACAGTATTAAACCTCGCTAATGACTAAGTTCTCCCTTGAACAATGGATCACACTGTGAATAATACATATGGCAAACCTGACAATATGCCAATTAAAAAAAAACATGCATTTTAATAGGGTTGTTTCAAGTACCCTTTCTTTTTTTACTGATGGGTGTGCATTTTGTTAATGGCAACTCAGTTAGGTATGATGCAGAGGTGGCATGAGAAATGAGAGATGCTGCAGCAGACATCTTAATTGTTTAGTGTAGAAACAGCGCTATTACAGGATGCAGAAGAATGCGCACACAAGAAAAACTACATTTCGTGCATATGAGCATTCTTGTACGCCAAGCTTATATGAACCTATGTGACATGACAACTTTCAGCGGCACAGCAACAAATGAAATGTAATGCCGGTGTGGAGTGTGACTTCGGACTGCATTCAGAGCACATCTAGATCAGATATATTGATAGCAATAAGAAATTGTCAGTGCTATGCAATCCAACGGTGTAATCGGTATCAAAATTGACACAGACGTCAGCTAAACCACAATGCACAAATCGCGCATGATCCAAATAGGGCCAGATAGCAACTGAATGCTACCACATTACAGTCCCCCCCCCCATTTGAAACAAGCCTAATCCAGATCAGTCCTGATCAAGAATATAGGTGCCTGTGAGGCAACACTGCTAAATAGTAAAAGCTGGTTCACATTATTCCTGGTTCCACGCAAATGTTCTACACAGGACTGAATGAAGGTAATTAAATGCAGGAGTTCTGCTTTAATGGAACTACTTCAGAGATCATTAACAAGCAAGGAGGAAAAGTCGAAAGCAAAATAGTCAAGGCCCTCACCCAAATGTCCATGGCCTCGTTGATGGGGTAGTTGTTGTACGTGTCCAACACTTCCGGCGGCCGGTACATCGGAGTTGTGTTTTTACACATCTGTCACATCCACAAACAACAAAAATAAAAAAATGCGTAACACAGCACAGCTTTCGTTGAACTTGAAACGCACAAAGTCAGTCAGAAGTGCTGCAAGTAGTCGATTTTTAGTATGTTACACATACACACTTCTGGCTATTTCCTGATATACAGTAGACTTGTTATATGAAACCTGAAATGACCAGGATAATATCTTCAGTTTTAGAGGAATTCCACTTACTGAGAGAGTAACAGGAATGCAGAATAAAGGTACTAAACTGCAGGTACTAGAGGCAGTCAAGCCATTTCGTTACCAAGACTATTCAAATCGATCACCAGTGATTGACACATAGCATCACATGTTGAAATTGCTTTTCACACAGCCAGCACTTCCTAGTAGTTAGTCCAGCCACTCAACTTTCAGAATCAATTTGAATTTGCCAGTTTTCGCAACATAGTGAATTTCGACAGAGCTTTACACGAACCAATGTACCTGTGTTGTTGGGAAAATGCACTTTACTAGCGAACTTGACTGAAGTATGCCCATTGTGGTTAAGCTGTAGTGACATCAAAGTTCTGTAAATAAAAGAACCTTTAGAAGTCAAATATCAAATTAAGGTGTCAGTTTTGCAATCTCACAGTGTTGAGCAAAAATAATTGACAAAATTTTATGCCAGCTATTCAATATAGGGCTGTTGCCAGGAGTCGGGGAGAACTTATTCTACAAAAATATTTTTGAAGGTCTGCCGCATGTATAAAGTGTGGAGGTGGCCTTCTCAGCCAGTTTCCAGCCAGCTTTGGTTTCCCTTGTATCATTGTATCAGACACAAGGCTGCATCTAGTGTCACTCATTATTTTTTTAGGATGACCATAAAGTGACAAAAGAATTGTTTGCATAGTTACATACACAAGGTTTATTCATGAGTAATGGCACGATAAATTGCGATAAACGTTTGTGTAGTTCACATACGTACAATAATGAGTGCATGAAGTGGCCTCATTATTGATGCGAACTGGATCAAAAGTGACATTTTCTTTGAGAGCAAAATGTCACTTTTGATCCAGTTCACATCATTTCACTATGCACACTTTGAGACATCGTTCAGTGGTCATCATTTGAGTCTGAACTTGTAAGTAGCTCTTCGTATGATGGGCTGGCACCCTATAAATCAAATTCTGATTCGGCATTTGACCAGTGTTTCAGAGGAATTGCACTTTCACAGCGCATGCAAACTGCACATGTGAGCACACTAAAGAAAATTGCATGGTTGTATACAAGTTTGGAAAGCAAAAAGCAAGGAACCTACAACAATCCCTCGCCTTATCACTAACAAGACAAAAGCCGTTTTTGCTGGTCCCAAAACGAGAAACGCAAACCACAGCAGCGTCGTTTCAGCATCGGCATATGAACAGGCATGATTGCATCCCTGGGTACAATAAAGAAGAGCTTAACAAAATAAGTAGTCACCCTTTGTGAGATTTTAAACCAGACAGCCATCATTTTTGCAGGCACAAGAAGTGGGAGCACCCTGAAGGACATGACTGAAGCTAGCCGGCGCACCACCGTACGAGAGCAGAAAAAAACAAAAAGAATAGTGAAAATATTGGTGCAAGAAAATGCCCTAAGTATTCTTGCAAAGTGGCAGCACACACCAAATGAAAGAAATGATTAAAAAAGGCGTGCATATCAAATTAAACAAGCAATGATGTACATATATGTCATTGACCATAATGAAGGTATTTGCAGAGGCTACATGTGTACGTCGTTCACCTTGAAAGAGTTTAGAGAGTTCCCTTTCTGATAATCTATTGTTACCTCGATCATGACGCGTTCATTAAAAGCACAATCAAAAGCACAGGCTTCTTGAAATGAGCGGACAGTTTGTTCGCATTAGCTTATTTGCAGAAGTGCAAAAGATTGCAAAAAAGAAAAAGGACAATAAAAACATCGCCATAATTTCCTGTTTTAGTATTTAGTGCCAATTAGGTGGATGCGGACAAATCTCAATAATGGCTTGACAAGGTTTGCGTGCACTGTTACTTGGCAAGCAAAACATACCACGTCTGAGCATTGAGGCACGCAGAAACAACACTTCAAGGACCCTTAAACAACCTTTGAAAATGCAGAGGACGAGCGTTCCCCAGCTTTTTGGCATAATTAGGTGATGCCAGTAGTGTTTGCTTAAGTGACAACACGAGAAAATAAGCCCTTGATTGGTCCATTTACAAGGGGTATCCTGCCCTGCTTTGCCACGCGCTCGCAAGCCCGTTCTGTCTTGTCTCCCGCGGCTATTGTGAGAGATCTACTGATGGCACTTCGTGTTGTGCGTTTTTATTTCTGCAAGCAGAGACAGCAGTGCGAAACCGGAAAGCACGAAATTCTGACAGGCTCAAAATTTAATGCCGATTGTGCATGTGCTCTGTAGAAAAATAAGTGGAGAGGAGCCGATAGTGCCCGTAGGAAGAGCAGCGAAGACCACAAAGAGACCACTCTCGCTTTTGAACTTGGAGAGTTGTCCAGCGGTAAGGATTGCCAGAACTCACCTCGTCTTCGACTAGGCTCCGCTGGATGGCCGTCCAGTAGCTGTCGGGCTTGTAAGACTTTGTCGTCGAGCTGCCAAAGTCGCACAGCTTGATGGTGCCTTTGGAACTCAGCAAGAGGTTCTCAATCTGTGAACCAAGTAGAAGAAACCGGAAATTTCAGTCACATTTTGCTTTTCAAACCCACAGAACAAATATGTATGACAAATTTTTTAAGTCTAGCGATTATCCAAAGGTCACAGGCAGAAAGGTCACAGGCTCACCAATAGACTGTTCGACAGGCTTTTACAATTTACTGCTGCTCCTCAATCATAGACAAGAAGGCTTTAAAAAACTGCTGGCATGCAAATCGAATGAGTGGTTATCCATTTTCCTTAACCCTTCCACCCCTTTGCGGAATGCCACAGCACTGGTTTACAGTGAAAATCTAGTTTTAGAAGTTAAACCCTCCATACACTTCTGAGGAAGGGCAAAGTGAGGAAAATGAAGCACCTTTCACATATTAACTACACTCAAACCTCATTATAAAACAAGTTTGTCATATCCAAATATTTGTTATAAAGGTTTATTCCAAACACTGTATCTATTGCAAAACTACCTTTCATTTACTTCATTATAATCTATATTTAATTTTATCCGCATTTCTTATATGGAGGTTAGAGTGCTTGATTGATTTGTGGGGTTTAACGTCCCAAAACCACCATATGATTATGAGAGACGCCGTAGTGGAGGGCTCCGGAAATTTTGACCACCTGGGGTTCTTTAACGTGCACCCAAATCTGAGCACACGGGCCTCGACATTTCCGCCTCGACCTTTCCGCCTCCATTGGAAATGCAGCCGCCGCAGCCGGGATTTGAACCCGCGACCTGCAGGTCAGCAGCCGAGTACCTTAGCCACTAGAACACCGCGGCGGGACGAGGTTAGAGTGCACACTGCTTAAGATCCACAAATGATTGAACTTAGCAAGTGGTAAGCACATCTGTTAAACCAACACAAAAACTTGAGATAAGGTTAGAAATGTGCGGTGTCCTACTGGTAAGCTCGTACAGTGCTCTTTGCACAAAATTTGAAACACAGGTTTTCGATAATCACTTAATCTTCATAATAAACTTAATGATGAACCGGTCAGTGATGTCTGTGTGCACTTTTCTGCATTCTCTGTTATTACTTACACTATGAGGACTGTTCAGTGTAAATCACAACTAGTTGGCAATGCTTTCAGTTCTCCTACACGCATTTAAGACGCTGCCCATCGCACAGCAACTGACCTTGAGGTCACGATGTATGATAGGCGGGCTCTGGGAGTGCATGTGACGAACAGCGCTGCACGTCTGGTAGAAGATCTGCAGCACCTGGGCAAGGCTGAGGTTTGTCGTCCGCTGTTGAAGGACGTCCACCAGGGGGCCACCTGTATAACCAGTGCAAGGTATAGAAGTCTATAGGGTCAATTGTTTAAAGCTGCAAAGCATACAAGATGACTGTGCAGTACCGCATGAACGCGGATATTACAATCTACCCCACACGTGAGGAGTAGGTTGCACTAATAAAAACAAGCAGGGCATGTATACTTGCTGTAAAGTACCACAGCAGCATCCACCTCACTTTCACTAACAATTTCAGTAAACTAGCAGGGGCACTTGTCCAATCGATGCCATAAAATATAAGATGGCAGCCAACAAAAAGCTTCGAGATAGCACTACGGTGGCTATGAAATTGAAAAAAGCACGTTTGTTTTGGAATTGTAAATGACAGGTAAAAATAACGCCTACTCATCATCACTGAACCCAGAGAATGACTCTTTCAGCCGCAAGTTATTGAATATTCTCCCCATCACCCATTTTGATCCCATAAGAGCTGCAATGAGATGATTATTACACTCGATGCTGGCACTCTAAAGGGGTGGGAGGTTAACATACGGTTTGCAGTGTTCTGAAGTTTCGGAAACATTAATACTGCCTGCTTATGCGAAACTGGGCACTTCTGTGGTGCTTTGCAGAATATTAACGAAAAAGAACCGAATTTTCTTCCCGTGAGCACTATTAGAATGTTCAAATTAATTCACTATTAAATAGTCCTCAATGCAATCTCTGATGCTTAGTCTACTAGCCCGATACCTTCTTAATGTCCTATGGATGCCTTATGGATCAAATAAATGGCAAGCTTTAATGCAGCTGTTGTCCTAAGAATACTTCCTAAACCTTGATTAGTTATACAACTGTTCATCAACTTAGGCAATTCTAGATTTATAACCAGCTCTATTTAACTTTCTTTTAGATTTTTGATCGATTTTGGTGAAACCTGCAGAGTATGTGTACATTTATGCACTGATTTCAACTACGAAACAATTTCTTAGAACATTATATGGTTTTTAGAATATCAAACATTTTATAAAAATTTCGAGAATAAAATCTTCTGAACAGAGAAAGTTGTACAGTAATTTAGCACGTCAGAATAATCTGGAGTGAGAACTATGCGCAACAGGATGAAAATGGATATTGTAAACACATTTGAACAAATGTTATAACTTAAAAACATTAAAAGGATCGCCTACCGCTCGGAAAATTTTTTCCGATTGTGGTGAAAATGAGCAGTTCATTCATCACACCGGCGGCAACGAGCATGCTTTTGTCCTGTAGAAAAGGAATGATATTTCTAACTTGGTGTAGGAAGTCGACAAAAATTGGCTGTAGCGTCACCCAACAGCGATAAGGTTAATCTACTGGTAGGACAAGAAATCCTCACAGGCACACCTATTTTGCATAAAAACAAACAGGTAAAACTTTAAATTGTATTTTATTCACTTGAGGCAGTCTAGGTTGCGCCAGACACTAATTTTTCCTTTTTTTTCTCATGCGTTTGAAGAGGTGCCTGGTGGTGCTGCCGGCAATGCGTTCGCTTGCCTGAATGCCTGCCTGCAAATGGCGGAGAAGCGCGAGCACGGCGTCGACCGCCACTCATAAGAACAATAAAAAAAGTGTTGAATAACCACTACGATATTTGTTTCATTAGTAAACAAAACTTTATGAAGCCTGCAAAAACCACATGCGGTTTCAGTTTCTCACTTTCACCGGCAGTACAATTGTCATCACCTCCACCAACCAGTGTTGAGGGCATTCATACCACCGATTGAAGGAGACTGAACGCAGATCGAAAACTTCTATTTCAAGAATTTCTACACATTTTCCAGAGGAACCGCTGCAAAGTTAGACCCTTCAGGTGGTACGTGTTTTATTGCGACACAAAACAGGAAAGCAGTGAAAGACAGTAGACAGTCCTTTTAACAAGCGAGTTTATGTTAAGGTGTCAGGGTAAGCAAAATAAATGAAAAAAGATGTGTTTTTTTTTCTTTCTGCCTTATTTGACATCTGCAGACAGTGTTCTCACCTGGGCAGAGTTCTGTGAGGAGAAGATACTCCGACTTGCCATGGCCCGATTGACCTTTCTCAATGGCCGCAGCTGCAATGAAGTCTATCACGTTTGGGTGGCCCGAAAGCTTTTTCTGTGCCCATTGTCAAGGTCTGCCAACAAACGACTCCAAAGATGACACTGCTATGACTAAAAAAAGCATTACATAAAATAGCTAACGTGTGCCTCGGCTAAGCGCATCCTACACTGTACATCTCACAAAGGGGACAGAATTATTTAGCAGCTGATGTGGTAGTGTCTAAAGCTTTGCTATAAAGTGATGAGACTGGGCTAGAAGAGCAACTAGCGATAATTGGTGGTAATTCAGCACGAAAGAACAACAGCACTAAAAACAGACAAGGACCAAAGACACGACACAGGTGCCGACTCACAACCCAAAATTTATTGGAAGGGACAAGCACGCATATATAAAGCAGCCGACGTAGTCAAGAGGCACACCATAGTGTCTGCACAGCAGGGCTACAAAAATAACAGATCATGACGAAGTAATATATGCGCAAGAAGACCACCCGAGAAAAAAGAACAAACCATATACATGCAAAAAATAAGCACGACCATTAGTCTACCATTAGACTAACATAGAATTCACCACACGTACTGATCAGATCAAAGGGCTATCTTTACCAGGACCAGTCTGATTACTTTACCGGCAAATCCTGCATAGTTGTACGTAAGCCAAGGAGGCAGGAGAGGCCTCCCTCAAATGAACGAAACATGGCAGCTGAGTACGCCGGCGACTACAGAAGAAATATCTAGTCCCGCTCAAGTACAGACGGGTCCCCTGTTAAAGGGAACATCTGCATGCTAAGGATGTTTGAATTTGGCCCTCTTACAGAAGAACACTGGCTTATATTTGTATAAGGTGACGGTGGTCGACAGCTCTGACTCCTCTCAAGAAACTAGGGACTTGCATGAAGATTGCTTCCTTATACGCTGGCTGTTGGAAGGCCAGAAATATGGGCAGTGTTCATCTGAGTGTTCCCTTTAACAGTGGACTATACTGTGCTTGGCAAAATTTTCCTGACATAGTCGCTGACCGCCCTGCTTACAACTTCAGCTAAGATAGTGCAGCGCACTCATCAGTACAGGCTTTTGCGCATGTGCCTATGAACTGGAGATGCCACTAACTTTTGAAGGTATATCTTACTGTATTCACTGTAAATGCAACATTTCATGTAAGACCTACACAGATGTTAACATGGTTTCCCAGCAAAACCAAGTTGTGTAAGATTTGTCTTGTTAAACAGATGAACCACACTCTGAAGGAAGTCTGAAATGCTTTGCAAGTTGTACGAAACCTAGTCAAGAATGCAGCTGCTACCACTTATTGCCAGGCACATGAATAAGCAGACTGCTGCAATAACGAGAAACAGGCAGTCTGTGACTGACGAAGGTATACTACGTAGAAAATTTCATGTTTTTTTAAACAACACTGAGCACTTTCTGTAATGTTCTTAATGTCTTGAAAAGTATACTTAAACCACTTATGCTGGAAATCAAGTGCTGCTCAATGTTGAGAAACAGTCAAACAAGTAATGTCTCCGTGCCCAGCATTTGGCAAGGAAGACTTGTCAGTGTCATCATGCGCAAAGGGGGGGGGGTGACTGCAGCAGCCTCTCCCCAATTTTTTCCTCTCAAATAATTCACTTGTTGTGAGTGCTTCCTCAGTAAAATATCCTTACACTGCACCTATTTTTCACGACAGTTGCTATGCGGGTGATAAATGCCTTTCATTGAATCATGGGCTTCACCAACAATTCTTGTACCATAATTTCTTGCCACTCCTATCGTCAGTCTTGACTGCAGTCTATTGCAGACACCATTTATAATAACTACACCACTTATACTTGCACTAAATCTTTTACCAGTTACAGAGACTCAGTAACAAAGTGCTTCAAGCCAACAAGCCAAAATCAAGCCAAGGATACAAGAACATTGACTTCCTGGAGAATGGATCTGCTCGCCTCCTCATCGCCAGCAAACATTCGCTGTAGAGAGTGAATAAAAAGAATAAGAGAAAATGTCAGGGTCATGATCAACAGGAAACAGCTGCGCACCATGCGTAATCTAGCACTTCCTTCAAATACTGACGCCGCTGAAATGAACAAAAAAAAGGGGGGGGGGGGGGGGGGCAGCTGACAGGAAGTGCCAAATTGGCAAGCTCCACGAGAACTCGAAAACCCAGGGTCGTTACCTTGAGTGCATATTCCTTGTTTGAAGACAAGTCTTGTGCCGCAAATACGAAGCCAAAGCCCCCTGCAAACATACAATGCAAAACAGACCATCAGTTAGGCACAATATTTATTTATTTATTCTTGAGAGATACCTTACAGGCCCGACAGCCTTGCATAAGAAGTGTTACAGTGAAAACTGAACTTACAGAAAACATGGGTATAACACAAATTCATAAAAAGAACAAAGAATGATACAGCGCAATAAAGTTGACTCCGTACACCAGAGGAACTGCACACTGCATACGGTGGCAAATTAGAGCACATTAAGTCAAAGAAAATGTAGCACTTTATGAAAATAAAGCTTGAAAGTTAATGATAAAGCGATTTTATGATGATATTACAAAATAACAGCTCAACTTTGCGTCGAAACAGAAGCGATGTCAGTTGCTACTATGCCAATCAAGCAACTGAAGCAATACTCTCTACATGCATACATAACTGAGCAATGCAGAAAAAAAACTGCGCTACCTTTAAGGAGTTATTATACTACAACACCAAAAAGCCCCCTCGTACGGAAAGAGTATACTTGCTGTACCGAAAAAGGTAAACTAAATGTCTCACAGAAATAGGTCTGACTGTTTCTGTATACGAAACAGCAGCATTAGAATGACAGTATAAAAGCACCTTGAAGGGACTAACAATTGACTTTTCTCAAACCATTTTTTTAAACATTAGGTAACAGAATGAATCTATTCAACACAGCCAACGGGAAGAGAGCAGTTGTTGACAGAATGTCAGAGGTTTTTGCCAACATACATATAACTACCAACAGGTTACCCCAACCAATAATTGGGACAGAATCGGAAAATTTTGGAGCAAGACATTCCCGGAAGTAAACTACAGACTAAACAATAAATGTGGCTTTACGGCAGATCTGCAGTGTCTGAAGAAACTGCCGAAAACTAACAGCCCGGTGCATCTCGTAGCTCAATGAAGGTAAAACTGACTGCCATGAGCTGAATTTCTTTGTTCCTGGTGAAATGTTAGAAGTTATGATGCAGCGTCTCAATGATGAATTAGCAAATGAGAATAGGCTAGCAAAACAAAGTGAGGCTGGCTCCGCAATGTTCCGCGATAATTTCTGCAATTAAGAAAAAACACCCTTTGCATGAGTGCATTCGTGGGTGTACATTTTTCCTCTTTGAGGAATCGGTTCATAGTTTGTTACAGTGGCAACGTGCCGTTTTGTCTCGTAAACTCTGGAAGCGTGAAGAGCCTAATAACCCTCAGCCTTTTACTAAAAATGCTGAACTTAGGTGTAAAACTGACATTCCACCCCCACCACAGCCTACCGTAGTCAGTACTTCCATGCCGCCAATCCTTTTTGTTGAACCCGGAGTTTTGGCAATCATTGATAAACTTAAATTATCTTCATCATCAGGTATCGACAACATAAATTTAAAATTTCTAAAGAACACTCAACAGATCTGTGCAAAATTTTTGTGTCTACTTTACTCGCAGTCTCTTTCCACGGGTGAGCTTCCTAGTGATTGGAAACATGGAAATATCACCCCAGTATTCAAATCAGGTATTAGAGAGTCACCCCTCAATTACCGACCAATTTCATTAACTAGCATTCCATGCAAAATCATCGAACATGTCATCTACACCCGGATTATGGACTTCCTAGACTCAAATAACTTTTTCAATACCGCGCAGCATGGCTTTCGTAAAGGTTTGTCGTGCGAGACTCAACTGGCTATGTTTTCGCACGACTTGCATATTAACTTGGATTCTAACGTACAGACTGATGCCATATTCCTGGACTTTGCGAAGGCATTCGATAAAGTACCACATAAACGCCTTCTGTTGAAACTTTCCCGCTTAAACCTACACCCCGACGTCCTAAAGTGGATCCGTGAATTTTTAAGAAACCGCACTCAAGCTGTCTCTGTTAACAATGCTACCTCTACTTCACTTCCGGTAACATCTGGTGTCCCGCAGGGGTCGGTTCTGGGCCCGATTTTATTCCTGATATTTATTAACGATCTTTCATCTCATGTATCCTGTAAAATCCGAATGTTTGCCGATGATTGTATTATTTACCACACTGTTTGTAACGCTTCTGATCAATTAGCTCTACAGAGTGATCTTAACAATGTAAAACAATGGTGCGATGATTGGCTAATGGAACTTTACCCTCACAAATGCAAAGCCTTATCCTTCACCCGCCGCCGTTCTCCACTTGTTTTTCCATATTCCATCAGTAATATTCCAGTTGAAACTGTTAATTCCTTTAAATATCTGGGGGTCACACTCTGCAACGATCTTTCATGGGGTTTGCATATCACGAAAGTCATATCATCGGCAAACAAAACATTGGGATTCTTGCGATGTCATCTACGTAACGCACCTAGAAATGTAAAATTATTAGCTTACAAAAGCCTTGTTAGAACTAAACTTGAATATGCTTCCCCAATCTGGAGCCCGCATCAGGCCTATCTTGAAGACGCCCTTGAGTGTATTCAAAACCGTGCCGCTAGGTTTATCAATAATTCTTACTCCAGTGACGTCAGCGTATCTTCACTTAAGGCAGAACTTCAACTGCCCCTCCTTTCCCTCCGCCGCCGTATCGCCAGTCTTTCGTTATTTCATAAGTTTTTTCACAGCTCGATGCGCATGCCACCTTATTTTGTTCCCCCAGCGTACATCTCTCAACGAACTAATCATCCACTTCAAGTCGGACGCCCACGTGCACGCACCGTTACTTTTTCAACATCATTTTTTCCTCGCACGGCAGTTGCCTGGAATGGCCTTTCAGGCGACATTCCTGCCATTACTTGTACTTCTACCTTCACAACCAGTATCACTAATCATCTTTCACTTTAGGACAAACGATTGTTTTCTGCTCAATTTTTATGTACCCACCCCTTATGTAATGCCCCGCAAGGGGTCTTTAAGGAAATAAAATGAAATGAGAAATGAAATGAAACGTTATCTGTTGTCAATGACGACCTCTAGCTCCACTCGCATCCAAAACTGCTCCCAATCAAAGATAATTTTCATAGATGACTGATCCAATCATCTTCTCTCATTAACATGAGACTGATAACTTTTTGCATGCTTGAGAATGTTTATTTTGAAGTGCACATATAGATTTGTAACGTTTGTTCTGGGTAGAAAGTTTCAGTCCCATCAATTTTTGTCAGATTTTAAGGTCACTAGTGAGCCAAATCAAGTGTTTCAGGTATAAGCAATGAAATTTTATTTTTCAGTAATGCATAATCATTAAATTAGCAGAGAGAAGGTACTTAAGCTCTAAGAGGGGTAAAGGAAGGAATACGTCAATTCTGTGGGTGGAGATTTTTTTTTTTTTTGCTCAGATGTAGGTTACTTTAAACAATTGTCGCTCATAGCGCGTTTGTAGCGCGTTTCAAGAAGGAACCCACAAGAAATAATGCATATGTGGAATAGTTTACCCAATGCGGTTGTGCAACAAACATCAGTGGATTTTGAAAATGCATTGGACGGTTTTCTTTGTAGTGACGCAGGCTAAATTCTGTTGTCAGCATTTATGCGTTGATTTTTATGTGTGTAGTCACTGTTTGCTTCTTATTTTTTTTATTGTTGATTATTCATCTCGTATTTATATGTGCTTTTGAATTTTTCTTCTTTGTGCAAATATTATGTACTTTGTGACACCCTCCCTGTAGTGACCCCAAATGCGGGGTTGACAGTATCAAATAAATAAATTAAAATAAATAAATAAAATGGCACATATTAAAGTGTTATTTGAACATCACACCAGTCAAGGCAATGACAGAACACAATGGCTTTCTTTGTGCTAGTATCCCAACAGATCGCTCGCACACGACGTCATGGGCCCAGCTTCTAAACACATTGGCACTCTACAATAGTGGCTTTGATGACTAACGAGTTGTGATTAACCTCCTTCAATGTGACGACGTGGCATTAACGCCTCTGTGCATGAATAAAAAAGTATGTGCATGTCATGTTTTGATGTCATCAATGTGACTTTGCAAGTGTCACATTGCCCCCCACCCTGGTGCTTCAACACTGCAGTTTCAGTGACGTCAGCGCAAGGCATCTATAGAGACTCTGGAGTTTTGCGGGCATGCGGCGCTACTTGTCGACGCAGTTTTGAGTAGTGCAATGCCCGACTCCCTTGCACAGTTTGCTGCGCAGCCAGGTGCAGCTACAGCGTACGAAATAACGTTTGAGCTAAATATTAGATGTATTTGCGCATTGAACACTCGGAAAAAGAGCTACGAATTTCTCTACACTAGTCGGACGCATCACCGAACCGCCATGAAGTGCTTGATGGTTCACTCGCCTGAACGAAGGCGAAAACAAGAGCAGAGGCAAAAGCTCCGCTCTCTTCGAAAGAAAGACCTCAGTCTGCGCTACTGTTGCATTGTTAATTAACATAGACGTAAATGTCTTCAGTTTTACCGATTTCCGCAGCTTTCTCAACGCAGAATCACGAGAGTGCTAAATAGAGGCCATTTCCAATGTGTTGTGTAAGCGTATTCGTCGCGTTCTCCACACCGTTCCCTTGAGTCAGTGAGATAATGTAGGTCTCTTGCATTATTTTGAGTAGCCCATACGGAAAAACGTGGTAACTTTGATCATGAAGCTTAACAGACCCTCTGACCACGGTGCGCGACATGCAAGAGTAGACAGGAGATGCCAGCGATAAACATCGCACACGTTGCGACCACCGATATTTACAACTTGTCCCCACCACACAGCATTACGCATGTAGGCCTTTGAATGCTCTAAGCCCCGGCTTTAACACCCAGGAAATGTGAACACGTGCGTCATACAGGTAAATCGCAAAATAATCTCAACCACAATAAGTTTTTTTTTTTTTTTTGGCCTTAGTCTTCGGTTAACAGAGCTATCTCGGAGGCATCAGTTTTGCCTTTCCAAGTACACTGAAAAAATCGACAAGCATGTATTCTCATTTGCAGTATATACAAACGAAAGACAATCGTAAACAGAGCATTCGAGCATGCGTAATAAAACTGTTCAGTGCACAGGAAGCGACAAATCGATGAAGAATGCAACTGCAAAGCGAAAATTACCAGGGCCATTCGTGCCTGATAAAGCGAGCTTTGTAGCACTGCTCGCATAGATTGCTCGTGTATGCACTTAATCACTTTGGCAACATGTGCGTGCCCAAGTTTAACGCAACAAGGCGTTGCTCTATAATCAGGTCCCGCTTAAAGTGCTAGATATAGTCAGGAAACAGGACGTTTTTCGACAATAGTTTCCTAGATATAGCCATCATTTTACCAGAACCTGATTTAGAGTGTACAGAACGCACGTCAGAGTGCTTGCCTCGAACTCGATGTCATGCGTTGCTCGCTTGCACCTAAATTGCCAGGTGCAGCACGCCGAAATAAACGAAATATCTTCTGCATTGTGCCCACGTTTCGACAACTGAAAATAGCGCTAAGAAACGGGGACACAAGACGAGGACACACGGCACAGGCGCTAAGTTTTCAGTCGTCACAATGCACCAACAAGCCCAAATTTCGACAGTGTTGAGCCCACATTTCGTTTTCATAAGCTTCCTACTTTTATGAAGCTAGGTCGGATTGAAGGAAGAAGCTTTTCAGGTCCTTGATTTTCAGGAAACTGCATCCAAAGACCAACGAAAGAGGAGGGCCTATGCACGTTCACTGGTGGACGGCCCACTGTGCACTACCCATTTATGGCTGGTGCGGCGATGGGGGCGCTGGTGGCGGCGTGTTTCGCAGCGCCGCCTGGGCAGTGTGTGACGTCTATAGGAAATTCCGGGGGTGTCACATTGTTGCCAGCATTATATGGCGTAAAATGAGATCCTTTCAAGCATCACGAAAAATAAATGAATATTATGGTGGAACGAGGTGCTGCCAAACACAGATGAAAAAGAGAGAGAGAGAAAATGCATCGCCAGACGAACACAAGGTGAATGACAGTCGGGGGAGGGGGTATGTGTGTTGGGGAGGGGGGGTGCTTTCACTGAAACTGCTGTAAACGCAACCTGCGATCTGCGAAAAGGCTATTTTTGGAAGCGAATGTAACGCGGTATTACTCGAATCCTTCGTTGTCTTAGCGGGTGAGCGAGCAGCGTACACACGCGGACGGTCTCGCTTTAAAGCAAGGCGTTTTCGAAACATACGGAGCGAGAAGTTCTCTTTTTCAATACGACGCGCACTCGCGTGGGCGGGATTCAAAACAAAGAATAAAAGAAGACCCTCATCCTAGCGCTTTTTAAGCGTCCGACGCGCCTGGCACGAAACGCGCGAACGCGTTAACAAATAAAAGAAGAGGTACGGGAATGCTAAAGGGCCGCCGCACAGGCCTCTGCGGTAGATAGTTTTATTTTTTTTTTTTCCCGAGCGTAAATCGAAACTCCCCCGTACCCACCATTTACCCCTTTCACACGAGCTCCGGTTTCTAGCGAGCGCAGACCGTAGGCGTGCGATTCTTGTTTGGGTTTTGCCGAAGGCTGCTTTCGTGAATCGCTCAGTGCAGCCCTCCGAGGAGCACTAAAATGAATGGCGATAAAGCGGCGACGGCAAAAGCAGGCCGCGCGCTCGTACGGACTAAACCAGGGCGAGTTGTCCGGGAAGTCGAGCTTGAGACAACGAATCGGTGATTAACCGGATTAACGAAAAGGGTGGAGTGTGTCACGGGCTACGAGAGGGCTCGGCGGGCCATGCGGGGCACGATCACTGCTAGAAATCGTAAAATCACGCCGAAGGAGCGCTTGACAACTGCTCCTTCACAAGTGGCCCCGAAAAAAACAGCTGCTAGACCGCCGCCGCTCGCTCTGAAGTCGCGCCTGTAGTTTGATACTGTACGGTGGGGCGGGTGACGTGCAATAAAGAACTTCGAGAGAGACCGTCAAAAGCTAGCCGCGCCTAGGCGCAAAAGCTCCGCGGCTTTTGCAGAGAGCAAAAAAATACAAAAACGCAGCCGGCCCTGCGACTGCTGCTAAGAAACAAAAACCTCTCAATCAAAAGGAGCCGTACGCGCAGCGTTGGTAAGTGGTGCAGCACGGATGACAACACAAAAAACGAGTTTGTGGTCAGCGGTAACGTAGGAAATCGCATCGAAGGAAGCGTTTTCGAACATGAGGTCGCGTTGGATGTTGTAGACGAGAAAGAAGCAAAATAAAGCTGACCTTCGGCTAGAACCCGCTTGACGCGCAGCCTCTGGTTCCCGAGCTCGACCACTTGGCCAACGAATTCGTGGTCTTCGCCGCCTCGACCGTTCGCCGAAGACGAAGAACCGCCGCCAGCGAGGTAGCCCAACGCCGACTTGAACAGGTCTGTCATGCTGGTTCACGACTCGGGCAGGCTGCGGCAGTGGAGACGGGGGCGTCGCACGATGCGACTTCTAGCTCGACTCTTTGGCGGCGACAAAGCACACACCCGCAAGTGCGAACTTCAGAGCATGTTGACGCTGTCGCGTCCGTGCTTTCTGCTCGACGGGGTTGAAAATAAAACGGCCTTCGGCGTTTAGACGACGGAGGATCGCCTATCGACCGCGGCCCGTGCTGGGAGGACGCTCCATTCACCGCTGGGCGCCATGTTTGCCCAATGACGTCATGGGAAAGACACCGCAGTGCTGCAGTCCGCCGCTGCGTTGCACCGGGCGCTCCTTCCAGAAAAAACTAGCTCTATTTACAGATATCAACTTTGCCGCAAAGCAAGCAACGTTTTTGTAGGAACTAGTTTTCTTGAGCGTTAAATGAAGGAGTGTGAAAATTAGTAAAGTTTACACGTAGCCTCAGAGATGTCTAATTATTGAGTAATCGCAGAGGCAACGTTTCAAACTCGCTATAAGGTGATAGCGCTGTCATCATCTGCGATGGCAAACACTTTTTCGCGAGTTTGTGGTTTTCTTGTGCATTGTATAGCGCAGTTAGATACTCTGTATTTTGTTATGCAGTTTTATGCACATCTTAGAAAAAACCTAGATGTCATTGAATGTTTCCAGCGATGTTTATTTTTTTTACACAGTGCTTTTAACTGCCTTCGCGAAGTTCCTATGTATTACCTGGTCGGAAAAGAAGCGAGCTCAGTCCACGCAATTTTATAATTAATTAGTGTACTAATCATAATACTGGTGTATATAATTCAGACTCATAAGTACTGTCGAGGAGGGGCAGATGAAAAAGCCCCGGCAGTGCGACTAGTGGCGGCGGGCTGCCAAAATTGATTAGCTTCAGTCGTAAGACGTTTTCACTGTCATCACCAAGCCAGGGGCTGACTCAAGTATTAAACATATAGGACTTGAAGCGTGTGGGATTCGAACGCGGGGGTGGCTGTATGAGAACGTTCTCCTGTGGCTAAATAACGTGTCGGCCGGAGGAGAAATCGAGTAAGCCCGGTCCTATCACCATGGCTGATCACTCAATGGAAACGCCAACTTGCAGTAGTGATTTTCATATCATAGCTTCGCTGTACATGCATCTTTATGGAGCAGTAATACATATATATATATATATATATATATATATATATATATATATATATATATATATATATATATATATATATATATATATATATATATATATATATATATATATATATATATATATTAGAATAACACATTCAAACCAAGTTACACCAAAGTAGCACCAGAACCATATCTTTGTTCAGTACATCCGATATTTGTTGTAACAGTGCAGATACATGAAAATCGGCTCACACAACAACGCTGTATACAAATACACAAGTACTGCGCAGAACGAAGGTTATCAAACCACCAATTCACAAGGGGATCTTTTTTTTATTTCATCAGTCTTTGGGAGTTACTTTGTTTATCTTCTAGGCCATCTGGTCACGTCTGCAGTGTTTATTTACGCAAAAACCTTCCTAATTATTGAACCCCATTCATAACCTTTTTTTATATCTCATATACTATCATTTTAAACAGAAATGTGGTCGGAAATTGTCTTGCAATATTTATTCTACTCTTTATGCCAACTTTAGTTTCGAACCTCGCGCGAGCCAAGTGAAGCTCGAGATGAAATGTCGGATGCATAAAAAAACAAAAAAACCCCGCCCCGATCTGAGCAGCCGCCGCGCAGAGTTTTCCAGCGTGGCACGAGCCGAGTAAGAGCGACGAAAGTCGCGCGCTTTTACCGGTGATGCCACAGCCAGCTTAATTTGCATACGTTAGTTCTGCCACTGGAGCATGGTCTGATGACAGGCTAATTGACTTTCCTTGTCTACACCAAGGAAAGAACTAGGATCAGCCAAGATTGATTGATATGTGGGGTTTAACGTCTCAAAACCGCCATATGACTATGAGAGACGCCGTAGTGGAGGGCTCCGGAAATTTGGACCACCTGGGGTTCTTTAACGTGCACCCAAATCTGAGCACACGGGCCCACAACATTTCCGCCTCCATCGGAAATGCAGCCGCCGCAGCCGGAATTCGATGCCACGACCAGCGGGTTAGCAGCAGGGTACCTTAGCCACAAGACCAACGCGGCGGGGCCAGGATCAGCCAAGAAGACCATACTAAGCCCCTGAAACGAACCAGCGTTCCTATGTCTTGCTTCGCACACGTCGGTTGGTGAAAATTTCTCTCCCTTTTCGTTATCGTGGTGGCTGTCGCGTTTTCGGTTTCTATAAAGAGAATAAATGTTGATGACATGAAGCGAGACCAAGAAAAGTTCGCTACAAGCGATAATTCACTGTAACACGAGTTTCGATCGACTATAAAAATAACAGCCATTTCGCGGACAGCATAAGTAACATATATACGTGCAGCTGGCACATGTGAAGTGTATGTGACATGGTGTTATATATCCGAAGCTCGAAACGTAGAAAGTAATAAGCTTAGTACATAAAGAAAATTCTTCGTCAGGTGTTTCACGGGCTTTGTAATATGCGATTGTAAGAATCACTAAATGTACCTGGCAAGGCACTGCTCAGAGCACGCACTCCTGCTTTTCTGCGCAATAAAATTAACAGGAGAGGTCTTTATTGATACTAGGGATAAAAGTCCGCCCAGTACCTCTTTCCCCACGACGGAGCTACGAGAGCAAGCAACCGACTGCCCACGAGAAGTTTTCACGGACTCTATCAAGGTCGCAGAACCACAGCGCCAACATAGGCGCGCTTGGCCTTCCGTTTCACCATAGACCATATAGGTGAGGAAGGAAAGTAGTTGCAAGCCTTATATATCGATGTTTTCACCTGTGGCTAGCTCCCTGGGTGCCGCCATAGTCCTGGACTGCTAAAATGGGCGAGGCCCCCTGAAAATGCATTGCATGTCGAGGCTACAGTGGCTGGCACGCAGCCAAGCACAGCAGTGATTTCTCGCTCCTGTAAAACGGTCTCATCATCAGAATGCCTCATCAAAAGCGAATATTGATCATGGCGTCCCCCTTCAACGGCGCGTGATGCAAAATATCATCATCACGGATTACGTCACCAAATGTTATCCCGACCAGCCTAAGTACGGCCACCGCAGGGCTAAGGCGGCCTCAATTGCTCCGTCAATCAACCTCGTTCTGTGCCTCTCTGCTGCCGCGCGTTCAAACTTCTTTACCCGCTTACCTCCTCTTGGCAAACGCGTAATTCCCGCCAAGCTTGTTTTCTATCCCAATGCGTACCCCTCGTGCGGACACACGGCGACATTCGCACACATGTTCTGGGAGCAAACACTCATGCCGACAATTAAGGTCCCTCAGAAACTCTCTTCTCACCGACCAGCAAAGGGCCGTCCAGAGGACTCCGAAACACCCCGCAGGTATTTCCCTATCGGTCCCTACGTGGGCGACGCCCGTTTCGCGCTTCCTGCAGGACATAGTTTTTCCAGTCCAGTCCAAGTGGGCTTCAAACATTTCTATTTTAGCATTAGCGCTCGTTACCCCTGTTCCCCCCTTTTTTTCGTAATAATTTCTGCCGTAAGCCTTGGAAGTCCTGAAAACTGCGTGCACATTGCAGTCGCGACATCTAATGCTTACTTTTCAGATATACAAGTCGAAGGGAGTCGCTAAAGGAGAAACGACCTTCGCACAGAAATGTGGCGACCGTAGCAGAAGACAACGCAAAAGCCCCGAAGTAGCGCTACCGATGACAGCGCCCTTTTACCAACTACAATAAGGTTTTTATTTGCAATATTTTAAAACTAAGACAAAAAAACTATTTTTGTGTGTGAAAAATTACTGTTTGAAAGGTTATTTTGTGTTACGTTTCACGTTTGAGTTTGTTAATGTGTCGTGAGATTGCAGAAGTTGTATCGCCGCCGTCATCACCGCATGCAGAAGCCCGCCTTTCGTTTCGAAAGCCGCGCTGAATTTAAGGGAATGTGTCGTGCATTCGAGTGAGTAAGTCGTATTTATTCTTATATTAGCGTCAGACTTTCAGATAATGCTGGAAGCGAAGCGTTGGCGAACGATATCATGGGAAATAGCAGGTAATAGCTCTCCGCAGATTGCCGGGGGGATTATTTTCGCGTGAAACGTTCACTTGGCGCGAAATAGGTACGGTGCCTTCCTAGTCAGTTGGAAATAGTGAATGAACGCGTGTACTCGCTAGTATTTATTTGAATATATGCCCTCATCTTTACTGAGCTTTAATGGTAACTCTTGGCGCGGTGTTTATTTGTGTTTGTAGAGTGCTGAACGTTTTCGAGTACCCGTAAAAGTGGAAGGGAAAACAGTTAGGCCTAACATAGTTCGGGGCTTCGTTGAAGGCTCAACTTTTAAGCCTGGCGAAGTAGCATGATGAGAATTACATATTCGAAAGTATGAAAAGTTTGGGAATTGTTTATGACGCCCAGAAAAAAATTGCTGGTATATCGCTAATTCGGGTATCTCCGGGATTTTTGTCCAAAGTTGGCGTGTGGATGTAGGGGGGATCGCAGCCATGACAGCCGACGTTCTTTCAAGGCAAAGGGAGGGGAAGCTGCTGCCAGGTTATTTTCATGATGAACCAACCATCTGAGGAGGCAACGAGGGAAGAGGAATTGAGGGGGGGGGGGGAGCAGCTTGATGTTGCTAGAATGCATGTGCCCCCCACCCCTCGGTCAACACCTTAGTAATGTAGCTAGAAATCTTCAATGCATGCGTGGGAGAGGGGGGGTTCAACTTGTTATGTGGGGTTTAACGTCCCGAAACCACCATATGATTATGAGAGATGCCGTAATGGAGGGCTCCGGAAATTTCGACCACCTGGGGTTCTTTAACGTGTGCCCAAATCTGAGCACACACGCCTATAACACTTCCGCCTCCATTGGAAATGCAGCCGCCGCAGCCGGGATTCGATCCCGCGACCTGCGGGTCAGCAGCCGAGTACCTTAGCCACTAGACCACCGCGGCGGGGAGGGGGGGATTCAACTATAATTTATGTTGTTTGTGTATGTGCTCATAAATTTACACATTCTAAATAGAAGGATTTAGGGAGGGTGCGGGAAGTACTGAGCCTTACCCTGTGGCTTGCAATGTGCTGCTTGCTTGAAACAATTATTTGGCCTCTGCCCGCCACATTGCCTCGGCTGAATGAAAATGTTAACTTTGCTGTCTTTTCATTGCCGTTTTTGAGTGGCACGCTAATTGAAA